TATAATATATATGCTGTATACAGTCAAACCTCGTTATCTCAAACTCGATGGGACAGAGATAAAACTTTGAGATATCCAAGGATTTGAGATATCAAGGGTAAAATACTTAAATAATAAGTGGTTGGGACTTCCAAATCACTTCAACATATCCATGGTATTTGAGATATCCGTGTTTGAGATATTGAAGTTCAACTGATATATATTTACATTTGCTGTGTTTTTCTACTAAGCCAACTGTGAAATTGATATGAAAGTCATTTTTGCGTATACTCACGCGTAGAAATATACACCCTGAAACTCGTGCTAAAGTGATGTCACAATGAGACTACAGAGACGTAAATTAGAATGTAACGATATAGGGCAGCAAGAAATTCAAATATTGAGTATATTATTGGTGCTTTTAAACTTGTAAAATGTAAATATAAGGAATGTTTTTCAGTTTGATGTGAATTATTGGTGTGTAAATCACACAGACTTGCACGTAGGCATATTTTTCATGAAGCGCTAGCGCGCTTCATGAAATATGCCCTTGTGACAAGTCTGTGTGATTTACACACCAATAACTCACACAAAACTTAAAAACATTCCTTAAATATAATATTTTCATGGCAAATTGAAGCTGATAAGTCATGCAATGAAAGTAAAACGTTGCAAGATTACATGAGACACGTTTAAAAAATGTGCCTCTCTCTTAGCTTGTAAATAAACAAAACATTGTAAGACATTCGTACTACACAATGTTTGTGTGTTGCATTGCAAAAATTTGGATCGCATTCATTGGTGTCTGAATAGTGTGCATGTCCACTATTTCGAGGAGACTTGATGTGACCACTAAAACACATGCAACGAATGCGAGACATCATGCAACGTATGCAAGCAAAGCTAAAACATTCCGATCGCAAGGTGTTGTAAAGTGCTCATGCGCCAATTGTTGAAGGGCTTTTATATAGCCCCAAAACTTTTAGAACTTTGAGTACAAAGTCTCTCAAAGAGACACAATTTGATGAGCAATTTTTATATGCATTGTTTATAGCAGGCCTCTAAGTGGCCTCTAAAATTTAGGCGCCAGCTGGCGCCTTATCAAAAAATTTTAGTCACCATTGCAAATTTTTAGTCGTCAGGCAATTTTTTAAGGCACCAACTTTAAAAGTTAATAGAATATAGGGACCCATGACGTGCCTAAGAAAACATGACATGTCCACTGCTAAAAATAATTTCCTCATCTTTGAAATTTCTTTTTGCTTTTTTAGAAAAATGTAAAAATTTCCAGAATTCGACGATGGCCAAGTCAATTTCAAATGGTCGCCAATTTGGCGACTTATGGAAAACTTTTAAACGCCAATCAAAAACTTTAGGCACCATGGCGACTAAATTAGTTGCCAATTAGAGCCCTGTACAGGAGAGTTAAAAGTTGAATTCTACCACTGCACCATGGTGGGACTTACTGTTCATGCTGAAAAAAACAAGCATTCTGAGAGTAATGCCTTACAATACTAGTCCCCTACCGGCAAGTGTAATCTGGTTCCCATTAAAAATTGAAAATGCCATAATTCAAAAATTATTGAAGCAGAATGAAATGCAAACTTGATCCATAACTCATCAAGGTAAAGTCACATACCAAAAATAAGCTCAATATCTGCAAGCGTTTAGAAGAAAATTGCGGAAAACTGTTAAAATTGAAAAGGCCATAATTCCCTCAAAAATCAATGAAGCAGAATGAAATGCAAACTTGATCTGTAACTCATCAGGATACACTAACATACCAGAAATCAGCACAATATCTGCAAGCGTTTAGAAAAAAAAAGTGCTGTAAACCAAATGGGGCAGACTGACAGACAGACAGAAGGACATAGGGACAGACAAACAGATGGATAGACGGACAGACATGGAGGAAACCTATAGTCCCCGTAAGGGGACTTATAACACATTTATGAAAAGGTGTGACAAAATAGCTAAGCTATATAGCTATTTCAAGCTTTACAGCTTTATAGCTTAATCAAGAGATTGTGCCGGACCTGTTTAATATGACCTGCATATGTACAGGTTGGGACCAATCGCCCAAATGGAATGTAATAGCCCATTGTGTTATAATATCCCAAATGGGATATAAATTTACAGTGCAAAAAGGAATACTTTTCATTTAGCTGTAAATATTATAAATCTGCAATAAAATACTTAAAAAGCAATAACTTTTGGTTAGCAAGTTTTTCTGTATCCCCAGTGTTTAGGAAATTGATCCTAAACTTCTTGGGGATCAATCGGTTATAGAAAAACATGCTTGCCAAAAGTTATTGCATTCAATTTATATTTATGTTGATTAACAATAGTTCATAGACAAAATATCTTTTTTCTTTTTTTTTTTTCACTGTGAATTTAAATCCCATTTGGGATATGTATTATATCCCAAATGGGCTATTTTATCTGATTTTGGCATTGGTCCCAACCTATATATATATATATATATATATATATATATATATATATATATATATATATATATATATATATATATATATATATATATATAGCAGGACCAACAGGTTGGGACCAATTAAATAAAATCCCATTAGGGATATACTAGTAATATCCCACAATATAAAGAGCTAAGTTCACTTTATCCATAAAATGGTCCTGCCCATAAACCAATTGACTGACCAAGTCCCAGTGTCCTTTTTCAAGCATCAATAAAGTAGAGACTTAGTACTTTAATTTCCAATAAAAAAAAAAAGTTTCTTCATAGAGTCCAGGTATTGAAAAATAGGCCTTGTGAAATTGCAGTGTTCTTGAATTTTGAAGAAAATGGGTGTATTTGAGTACCTTCAGCAAAGAATTAAAATATGAGCCCTGCAACCCTTGATCCAAAAAATGAAACATGAATTATAATCATCTGAAACAGTTCTTTCATTACATAATTGAACATTTTGGATCAGAGTTTGGAGTCAATGCAAAAAAGAGAAAAACAGCTTCAATTTTTGGCCATTTTTGAAGAAATTTTTACGATTTGAGGATTATGATGTAATTCATGATGTCATAATACATGGACAAGCAAGAGAATTTTACATCATTTTTAATAGATGTGCAGTCACCAAGGGTCCAAGTGAAATGTACTGTATTTTCAATTAAAACTGAGCAGTTTTGATTTTTCAGAAATTCACAGGGCCAAAAAAGGTCCTAAGTGAACCTTGTTCTTTACAGTGCAAAAAAATGCTTTATTAATATTGAATATCTGCATAAATTATACTTTAAGCAAGCAAATGCTTTATTAATATTGAATATCTGCATAAATTATACTTTAAGCAAGCAAGTTTTTCTATTACCAAGTTGGCAACAGTACTGTATATACCATTGATCCCTAAGAAGTTTAGCATCTTCCAAGGGAGCAATTTTCCAAACAGTGGGGATACCGTAACCAAAATTTGTTGCTTTTTTGAGCATTCTCTGTAACTATTTAAACTTTTGAGGCATGCATGCTCACAGATAAAGTTTATGAAATTTTTAATGAAACTTTGCCCATTATCATACTTTGACACATGAAATATTAAGACTTAACAAAGAGTGAGAAAACAAAATTGATCACTTATACAAAAACAATACTAGACATTGTTGCCAATTTTGTAAAGAAATTCTTTGGAATGTATTTAAATAGGTCAAAGCAATGTTATTCAAAAAATAAATATTATGGTTGCCATGGTAATACATCATAGCTACACACAATTTATGGCTTAGTTTTGATTTATTCTGCCATCTTTTGGAAAGACATGTAGAATTTTAACTGCTAGATATATAATATCCTTAAAAGACTTATTACACAGCATAAAGAAAATTAGGAACTTATTGCCTCATTATAGTAACCATGGAGACAACATAAGTAGTGGTCCATAGGAATGCTATGTTTTTAAAATTTCATTTTTTTTTGAAATGTGGAAATGTAGACCATTTCACCATAGCCAATAAAATTGCTTTTCCAATAATATAGAAAAATGCTCAATAAAAAGTTGGGAAACAGATGAAAATATTCAGAGAGTTACATAGAAATCACTTTGCAATATTATATCATTATTAGTATTTATTGCTATAGTAACCATTGTCAACCAATAAAAACATCATTGAAGTTTAATCTAAGTTTCAAAATTTTTACATTGGTGGGAACTTTTGAATGAGAAAAGATAGGGAATTCATATTTGACAAAACATTTTCGAACATGCTATGATTTTGTCCCTATGACCTTGAAGTTTGAACTTATTTAAAAAAAAAATTACTGCTTACTTTTGAAGGAGAGAAGATAGGGCATTCATATTTGACATTTGCATTACTTGTTACAAGACATTTCCAAATTTATTATCTATTTCAAGACCTTTCCAAATGAACTTTGGTTTTTGACCTTGTGACCTTGATCGTATAGTTTAACCTACAGTCCTTTTCAAAGTTTTTTTTACTTTGTACTAACTTTTGAATGAGAGAAGACATGGCTTTCATATTTTACATACACATTACTTCATAAGTCAATGTCATGGTGTTCTTATAGAACACCATGACCTTGACCTAGAAGTTTGACCTACTTATCAAAATTTTTAACTTTGGCCATAACTTTGCTCCAAAAAGATTGACCTTTATATTTATTTCACTTTTGCATTACTTTTGACAAGACCTTTCTGAATGTATTATGATATTCGACTTTGATCTTAATATTAGAATTTGATGCAGTTTTGAGAAGTTGTAATCTTTGCCATAACTTTTATTCATGCAAAACTTTTATATCTTTTTTGTATGAAAACTATGACAGACAAGACAGGACACACAAACAAGACTGTTACAACATGCCATAAATAACTGCATCCCAACCACTTAGACACCAAAAGCAGGGAAACCCCAATTCTTTGATTTACTTGTGTACCCAGATTATTCATGCAGAATAGATGTCAGTACTGATGCAGCAAGATATGATGTATGTTTGAAGCACAGTGTATATTCATTATGGCTATATATTTTTTGTATTTCAGAATCTGAAGTGAAATCATTGTATAAACATGTTGAAGAGACATTTATCCTGTTGGCAGTACTGATAGTCACCAAGTAGTATGTTACGATATACTGGGAAATTTTTCTGGCAAGGGAAAGTTGGAGGTTTTCCAGCCATTTTCTTCACCAGAAATAAGCAGGATGTAGGCATTTTAATCCAATCAGTAAATGAATTTTCTGACAGACAAGACTTCCTATCTTCTAATACTGCAGATACATCAAATAAAAATAATTTAAAGACAGTTTTCAAGAGCAAGTGTTTGAGAGAAAGTGAAAGTAAAGTAAGACCTACTGTTGGGGGAGATTCAGGCTCTATACCAGGGGGTGCTTGGGAGGATACATTTGGAAATCTAACTAAGTCGGATCAAGAGACAGTGTACCCAGCACTACAGTCTTATTACAGAGACAACGACCTAGGGGAGGACAGGTGAGTTATTCCAGTACACATTTGCTGTAGTGTGAATTCATTAAATTGAATTGAATTATTGAATTCATTAAGAAGAGTCTTTTGCTTAAAAAAACACCCACCTATATTTGCCCTAATTAATCTATAAATACTAACATCATTGTAATGGTAATTGTCTTATTGCCAGTTTTTAATACTTTATCTAGTGATGATGAGTGTGATGAAGCTGATAGACCTTTAAGAGTTATATACCATAAACTCTCTCCAGAATGGTACAACAAGCAAATGAAAAAATATGCAAAAGAGGGCAAGGTTGGTCCATGGCTTAAAAGATATCATAAAAAGAATTAAATTCTTAAATTACCTAAAAATTTTGCCATTAAAATACATGTAATCAGTCATTATTATACTTCCCTGGAAAAAAAAGAGATCTAATTTTATCACATGTTTACTCCTTTACACGGTGGATATAGATCATATGATATCGTTTTCATATTAACAGTTGTAATGTCACAATGGTTTTTGCATAAAAGTGATAAAGTCAAGTAGATTCACATATAAAAACAGTAGAAAACATTTGATAACTTTATGTAAAATGTGTGATAAAAAGAATCTTCCATTGGTTTGTGGTTGGATATGACTTTTATCCTTGCCAATTGACTCGATATCATTGTCTGTGCCACCCTGTCTGTCCACCACACTATTGGCAAGGCAAGGGCTGCGTTTACCATGCTAAAGAACATCTGGGCTTCAAAGAAAATCCACATTACCACCAAATTGCGGATACTCAACTCAAATGTTAAGTGTGTCTTACTGTATGGAGCAAAGACAGAGAATGACCAAAACATCCAGACACTTTACAACACCTGCCTGAGGCACATCTACAACATCTTATGGCCTGAAAGGATCACATATGAAGAACTATGGAAGAGAGCAGGGCAGGAACCAATGGATGTACAAATTAGACAGAGGAAGTGGGGTTGGATTGGACAAACCCTAAGGAAGTCATGATCCAGCATCACACACCAGGCCCTAACCTGGAACCTACAGGGCAAGAGAAAGAGGGGATGTCCAAGAAACACCTGGAGGTGTGACTCGGAGGCAGAATTAAAGGCACAGGACATGATCTGGCACAACACAGCAAAAGCAGCCCCGAATCATGTTCATTGGAGGACTGTCATCGATGGCCTATGTTCCTCATGGAACGACAAGCCTAAGTAAGTAAGTAATGATTATTATCCAACTCGTGTGTTTTCTATCCCCTTGCCAAGGCTCAGGGATAGAAAACACACAACTCATTGGATTAAAATCATATCCAAACTCACACCATGGGAGATCCTATATATATATATATATATATATATATATATATATATATATATATATATAATCAAATCTGTCTGTCTTACTGTCCATCACTCTGACTTCCTGTGTGGGATGCTGAAGTTCAGTTTGAAGATACAGTGAAACTTTGATATCTTGAATGCAGTGGGACCAAGAAAACTGAGATATCTGAGGGTTTGAGATTTTATGGTTAAAATACATAAAAATGTGGTTTGGGACTTCCAACTCACTTCAACATATCCATGGTATTAGAGATATCAACATTCTAGATACCAGAGTTTAACTGTTACAGTATTTAATACAGAGGCTGATAGTGATTAGAGGGTGTACCATGATCACGAGCCCATGTCATTTGGTGAAAGACTGGATCACAAAGCTCAGAAGTGTGAATTATCATTCTTAACACAAAGAGAATGCTATATTGGCAGTTATTATGTTGTGATTCATGTACATGTACTAAGCAGGATCATTGACAAGATGGAGGTCATAGGGTTATAAAGAGGATGTTTGTTGATTTGAAAAAAAATTAACTTTGGGCCTGGTCAAGAAGAAAAGATGGGGTTGTAAAAGTCCCATTTGGACAGCTTAAGTAGTGTATTTCCATACATTTTAATCTATGAAGAAATTTAAAAATGAATGACAGAATGCATGGTCCAAACATTTCAAACTGAAATGTAAATATTATGTGTTTAATAGTTGTCTTTTACATTGCATTGCATGAAAGATTTTTATACAGATTTTCCTAACATTGTGAACACAAACCATCTTATAATCTGACAGATTGAGCAGGCCATCGATGTCCTTGAAGTGATCATGCTGAAGAATGACCGAATTCGACCATTACCAAGTCACTTCTACACTCTGATCTGTCTCATTAGCAAAACAGGTGATACAAAGAAAGCTTTCCACTTCTTTTCAAAGGTAACTTCATTTTTATCTACTCATCTTTTGCATGCTTATTTGGAGGGCATATTTACTATTTTAGTGTAATTTTGTGAGACCATCTTCTTTTGAAAATTTCACTCTCATGCTTATTTGTAATATTAATGATTATATACAAAAATAGTTAAAATTTGTGAAGGTATTGTCTTCCTTTAAAATACCAAATAACTCTCGCAAAAATAAGGAAAGTGAAGAAAATTAGGTGATCTATGCAAGGATCTTTTTGGCACACTCAGATTGAGAGTATAACACTCTGGGAGTCACAAAACTGTCTCTCCTTTGCCCATTAAGCTTCCATTCTTTTGAAGGATAAGATTTCTAAAACAACTGAACATGCTGAAAAGATGTTCAAAATGTACAGTCTGTAACAAAGTCAATGGAGATTGAACAAATTAGTTTTGGTGGATCCAAAATGAATCAAAGAGTTAAAGTTGTCACCACTAGAGAATAGTCTTTATAAATGCAATTTGATATAATATGTTAATTGGTTCACCATAGCCATATTCTCCTGAAACTACTGTAAAGGTGTGGCCATCGTTAATTTTGTTTAGAATACCATAGCCATAGTTTTCAAGCTGGGTAGGTAGGTAGTTTTTTTTAATTTTTTTTTTATTCTTGAAATTATCTAACACAAAGATAAATGTTATGAAAATACAGATTTACACATTTATTCTTCCATATGGTTCTTATCTAAACTTCATAGACATAGTTTAGATGTTTGTAAAATGCAGCTAATCAAAAAGACATGTGGAACCGAAAGTTAAAAACAAAGTCCAGTATATGCCAAAAAAGTCCAACTTGCTTTCAGCAAGTTGGACTTTTGTATTTTCCCAGAAACCAAAAAAAAAAAAAACAATAATAATTAAAAGTCCTGAAAAAAAATGATCAGGAAGGGGCAATTTTGATGTTCAGTCAGAGTACATCAAACAAAACATTTTTATTGTTGGCCTGCTTTTTTCCAAGGGGTCATAATTCTGTGGAATCACAATTTCTATATTTCTTCTATTGCCATTGTATATCTTAATGCACTTTAAGTACTGATGTGACAAATTTCTGCAGAAATTTTGTGACTGTGTACATAGTGTACATAAATTAATCCCAAGTGAAAAATGTATGTCTACAGTATTCTGATGGAAAAGAATCTGGCCTTTATCTATCTCTATTTATTTCTGTAAACTGTTCCCCAGAATCACAGAACCAAATTAACACAGAGCAGAAAAGAGTGAAGTGGATTCATATTTGTTGAAGAATCAATATATTTAGTATTTTCTGTGGTTTGTTAATTTTTAAGGTTTTTAGTGCCTTGCCCAATATTGCAACAACAACAATAAAAATCACAGTATGTTCAAAACCTTTTCTTCATTTTGAGCAATTTAGGGAAATCACAGGAATTGATAACAATATGACCTTTAATAGATCAAATAACAAAAAAAAAAAAAAAAAAAAAAAAAAAACCAAAACAACAACAAGCCCCTGAAAAAGCACACAGTATGGTGTGTATCTGTATGGATCTATTTTTGTGTATATAAAAATAATGATTAGAATTGTTTTATTAATTATACATGTCTATTTCATGTGACAAAGAGCAGTATGACCTGGGGAAGTGTTTTGGCATATACTGGACTTTGTTTTTAACTAAATGATTTTTATTATTGGGAATATTTTTAAATTTTAGATGAGAGATTTTGGATATAAACCAATCCCACAAGTTTTCACTGCTCTATTTGATGCTTGTTCTAAATCAGTTTATGGGAAAGAAGACGGTTTTCAAAGAGCCTCAAAACTTGTCCACACACTGAAAGAAAACAATATTACCCCAAACCAAACTACATTTAATGCCATGATCAAAACCTTTGGAATGCTTGGAAAAAGTGAGATAGCTCTTCATCTTGCTGACCAGAACTTTAGCCTGTATCGTCCAGATGACAAAACAATAGCCAACATTTTGATAGCTGCTGCTGGAGATGAAGAGAATGGTTTGGCTCTTGCTATAGGGGTAATTGTTTGACTAATACTTATAAAATGTTTTGTTATACCTTTAAAAATTGTTTCCTTTATAAATCTCTACTAAAAAAATGTGTAAAATTTCCATTGTTTTTCTGAGAAGGCAAACCCCCCCCCCCCCCAAAAAAAATTCGATGTTGGACCTCTCAGTGAGATATTGGACTTGTTAATGAGATATTGGACCTGTTAATGAGATATTGGACCACTTTGACATTTTTTAGGTCACACTGTAGGCAGGATCAGCTATACCTTATCAATCACTGCTAACATAGAAGCCAGTGCAAGATATGTCAAAATAAAAAGTAAAAGGTATAACAAAACATCTAATGTATGTGTTCTTGTGCAAAATGCGTTTTGTCGACTCTTCTAACAAAACTGTTTGCCTTTGGCCTTACGGCCTCATCCAAACAGTTTGATTCTTGGATCAGACAAAATGCATGTTGCCCTTGAACCCAGTCAATAAATGTGTATTGTTATAGATGTAATTTCTTTTTTATTTCAAAATGATTTTGTATGTCCTGATGATGATTTGTTTTTGTTACAGATATGGAGGGTGGCAAGATTACGTAAAATAGAACCAACAGTATTTCATTATATGCTTCTTCTTAGAGCCATTCGTTGTTGTGGAATAGGAGATGAAGACAAATTCTATGAAATGTTGATTCAGACATCTCCATATGAAATGCAAGAAAATTTACAGTTGTCTTTAGCTGAATTTCAGAAGAGGATGGAGGAAGGTAGTCAGAGCTCAGATGATTACCTCCCAGGTGTAAGTTGTCCATCAAAGGGAACACCCCCTGGTAGTGTGGCCACCAGCCAGGTTCAGTTGAGGTTGTCAGACATGAGTCAGACAGATTGTAATGTTCTGGATACTCATTCTCACGCCAGCACAGTGGCTGCATCTTCACTAGACTTAATGGTCTCAAACACAGAGCCACAAGTTTCTTCAGTTTATATAAAATCAGTCAATTCTATTAAAACTGACAGTAGAAATTTTCAAGATATTTTAAAACCAGGAGAAATGTCAATTCTGAATATGCATAATATTAGAAACAAATATGAAAGACTCGAGTTGCTTGGAGGAGTAAGTGGGATTTTGGCCCGCATGAAAAGGGATAGAATTAAACCTAATGTGGCTGTGTTTGGACAATTATTTCACATTGTAGAAACATTGGAAGATGAGGAATTCTTGTTCTCCGCAATGGAGGAACTTCATGTATCTCCAGATATAGACATTATAACTCACGCAATGCTAAAGAGATTAAGAAGATTTGAAAAAGAAGAGGCTAAGGTAAACTGCATTCGTATTTGTTATACATTATATGTCTAAATTCATTTACTGTGTAATAATTAGAAATTTTTATAACCTTATCCTTCAGCTTATTTAGTGCTTAGAGTTTCATATCAGATTCATTCAGTTGCAAACATCAATTTTCTGCCAACCATCTTTCAGTTTCTGGCAATATACTATGTAGTATGAGATAGCACAGATGTTGAATTTACACTTCTCTTTGAAGAACATGTATATGTCAGTAATAATGATTCTATTGCTGTATGCAGTGAGATGCAGATCAGATCTGAACCACTCATTGGATCATATACATATACATGTAACCCAATCTACAGGAAAAATAATTCTGTAAAAAAGATGATAAAATATCAACATTGTCAATTGCAGCGTCTGTTGGAATTAATGCAGCAAAAAGGTCTAATGCCCAACATTTTTGTGTGGAAGTACCTGGCGTTCATAGAGTGCCGTAATGGGGATGCTCTCAGACAGTTTTTGGATGAATTGCAGGTAAATATATGTAAAATAACAGGCCTTCCAGTGGCTTTCATCTGACAGACTTACTGAGGGTAATGTATATGAAAAAAAAAATTTATATCCCAGGTTTGTCAGTTGGTTTGAGGCAATCTGAAGGCCTGTATGTAAAATAATTGCCATACATGTAGTTCAAAAAAAATTTCAAATTTATATACATATATCTTGGATCACAGTGAATACAGTTTTGTTTGTCTCTCCACTTCAAGTTTAAGCTAATATAGCTTGTTATAAAAACTTTTAAAAAAAATAAGAAGAAATGTGGAAAAAAAATTTCTTTTACATAATATATTATATGAATTTTTTGTTTTTTGAAGCACAAAGATATTGCTTTGACTGTACACTTGATGGATGGTCTTATGAGGAGCAGTTATTATACCTTTGGAGACAAGAAATATTTGTTACAGTTGATGGACAAACTAGACATCCACCCAACAGAGTACTTTGTGGACAGAGTATATGGTATTATAAAACACAACAAAGAAAGATTGAAGAGAATGGTAAGGAAGCAATCTCGGAAATGATTTAACAGGATAAATTCACTTATGGTCAGACGACATGTTCCTAAAAAATATATAATTTTTCCCAAGAATTTCTGAAGTAATGCTACTTAAAGAAATTTTCTTACAAAAAATTAAGGTTCATTATATTTCGCATCAAACCAGAGGATGGTATTTCCTATATATCCTACTGGAAGTCACTTGATTGCTGATATCATGATTTTTGGTTTTTATATTTTTTCAGACATTTGAACACTGTTTAGAAATCAGAAGATAACATTAATTATAAATATGTTGGGTGTACATGTATTACAAAGAAATGCAAAAACAGATATTCAAGGAATGTGTCGTCAGACCGTAATGTAGAGTTTTAATAGTCATGAGATACTGATCTCTGTTAATAATTCTTATATTGTTTTTACCTCATCTGAGCCCAAAGGCTCAAGAGGATTTTCTGATCAAAGACTGTGTGGCATCTGTCTGTCTGTCAGTGTGTTATCTGTTAACTTTTTACATTTTCTCCAAATTCCTCTCCAGAACCACTAGACCAAATTTAATCTAACTTGCTACAAAGTGTCTTTGAGTAAAGGGGACTCAAGTTCATGCAAATAAAGAACCACATCCACTTTCAAGGGAAGATAATTAAGAGCAGATGTCATTTTTAGCTCTACTGGTCTCCTAGCTCTACTGATCAAAAGCCAGGCTCTGGGGCCATAAAACTTAGATGACTTCACTTTTGATCTCAGTCTCACTTTTACAGAAGGAATATATTGTGGAAAAATGAGACTGAGATCAAATGTGAGCTAATCTAAGTTTTATGGCCTAGGAGCCTGAAGAGCTAGTAAAGTGAAGTAAAGTTAAGTTAGTGAAGTGTCCGTCTTCAGTCTGTCTGTAAACAACATGCTACTCCTCCTACAGTTTTTTTGGTCCAATTTCAATAAGAGATGGCACAAGTTAAACTTTACCAAGATGGATTCTGTTTATTGGTTTTTGATTTCAACAAAGGGTGTTTCCATGGTTACTAACAATAGAAATTTCTTTCAAATTATTTCAAAAATGATACTCCTCCTATGGCATGTCAAATGTTGCAATATTCAATCTTTTCCAATTATATTGTATAATTTTCCATTTATATTGTATAATTCTTATTTTTATTGTATAATTTTGCATTTGTATTGTATGATTTTCCATTTGTATTTGTATATAAATTTTTTGTTTGTATTCTATAATTTTCCATTTGTATATTAAAATTTTTCATTTGAATTGTATCATTTTTAGCTCACCTGAGCTGAAAGCTCAAGTGAGCTTTCCTGATCACATTTTGTCCGTAGTCCGTCTGTCCGTCCGTCCGTCCGTCTGTAAACTTTTCACATTTTCGACTTCTTCTCCAGAACCACTGGGCCATTTTCAACCAAACTTGCCACAAAGCATCCTTGGGTGAATGGGGTTCAAGTTTGTTCAAATGAAGGGCCATGCCCTCTTCCAAGGGGAGATAATTAAGAATAAGTGAAAATTTGGTGTCTTTTTTTAAAAATCTTCTTCTCAAGAACCATTGGGCCAGAGAAGTTGAAACTTATGGGAAACCTTCATTACATAGTGTAAATTCAAGTTTGTTCAAATCATGACCCCCAGGGGTCGGGTGGGGCCACAATGGGGGATCAAAGTTTTACATAGGAATATATAGGAAAATTCTTTAAAAATCTTCTTCTCAAGAACAACAAAGCCACAATTAGTCATATTGATACGAAATCATCCTCAGGTAGTGTAGATTTAAGTTTGTTCAAATCATGACCCCCGGGGGTAGGGTGGGGCCACAATAGGGGATCAAAGTTTTACATAGGAATATATAGGAAAATTCTTTAAAAATCTTCTTCTCAAGAACAACAAAGCCACAATTAGTCATTTTGATATGGAATCATCCTCAGGTAATGTAGATTCAAGTTTGTTCAAATCATGACCCCCGGGGGTAGGGTGGGGCCACAATGGGGGATCAAAGTTTTACATAGGAATACATAGGAAAATTCTTTAAAAATCTTCTTCTCAAGAACAGCAAAGCCATGATTTGTCATATTGATATGAAATCATCCTCAGGTAGTGTAGATTTAAGTTTGTTCAAATCATGACCCCCAGGGGTAGGGTGGGGCCACAATGGGGGATCAAAGTTTTACATAGTAATATATAGGAAAATTCTTTAAAAATTTTCTTCTCAAGAACAACAAAGCCACAATTAGTCATATTGATTTGAAATCATCCTCAGGTAGTGTAGATTTAAGTTTGTTCAAATCATGACCCCCGGGGGTAGGGTGGGGCCACAATAGGGGATCAAAGTTTTACATAGGAATATATAGGAAAATTCTTTAAAAATTTTCTTCTCAAGAACAACAAAGCCACAATTAGTCATATTGATATGGAATCATCCTCAGGTAATGTAGATTCAAGTTTGTTCAAATCATGACCCCCGGGGGTAGGATGGAGCCACAATGGGGGATCAAAGTTTTACATAGGAATACATAGGAAAATTCTTTAAAAATCTTCTTCTCAAGAACAACAAAGCCACAATTAGTCATATTGATATGAAATCATCCTCAGGTAGTGTAGATTTAAGTTTGTTCAAATCATGACCCCCGGGGGTAGGGTGGGGCCACAATGGGGGATCAAAGTTTTACATAGGAATATATAGGAAAATTCTTTAAAAATTTTCTTCTCAAGAACAACAAAGCCACAATTAGTCATATTGATATGGAATCATCCTCAGGTAATGTAGATTCAAGTTTGTTCAAATCATGACCCCCGGGGGTAGGGTGGAGCCACAATGGGGGATCAAAGTTTTACATAGGAATATATAAGAAAATTCTTTAAAAATTTTCTTCTCAAGAACAACAAAGCCACAATTAGTCATATTGATATGGAATCATCCTTAGGTAGTGTAGATTCAAATTTGTCGAAATCAAGATCCCCGGGGGTAGGGTGGGTCCACAATGGGGGATCAGAGTTTTACATAGGAATAAATAGGAAAAATCTTTTAAAATCTTTTCAAGAACAGGAAAGCCGTGATTAGTCATTTTGATATTGAAGCATCCCCAAGTATTGTAGATTCAAGTTTGTTCAAGGCATCCTCCAGTAGTAGTGGTGGGGCCATAATCGGGGATCAAAGTTTAACAAAAGAATATATATAAGAAATATCTTAAAAAATCTTCTTCTCAAGAACAACAAAGCCATAATTAGTCATATTGATATGGAAGCATCCTTAAGTAGTGTATATTCAAGTTTGTTCAAATCTTGAACCCCCCCTCCCTTCCTACCCCCCAGGGTAGGATGGCAAACATCTTTAAAATTCCGTTTCAAAAACAGCAAAACCATGATTAGTTATATGAATATAGAAGCATCCTCAGAAAGTTTAGATTCAATTTCATTCAAAACATGGCAACTGGGGATAGGTTATGCCTAGAACAATTGATCAAAGCTTTACATATGAATATATAGAAGAAGAAATCTGCTGACAAAGAACAGCAGGGCCATATTGACTCAGGTGAGCGTTGTGGCCCATGGGCCTCTTGTTTTTCTTGTTCTATATTTTCCATTTGTATTGTAAAAAAAATCATTTGTATTGTATTGTAACTTCTTATTTGTATTCTATATTTTCCATTTGCATTGTAAAATTTCTTATTTGTATTGGATAATTACTTGTTTGTATGTGATAATTTTTTATTTGTATTGTATCCAAGGGATTGTTTATTTGTTTCGGTACACATCCTCAGGTAGTGTAGATTCAGTTTTGTTCAAGTCATGGTCCCTGAGGGTAGGGTGAGGTCACAATAGGATATCAGTGTTTTACATGGAAATACATAGACAAAAAAATCTTTAGAATTTTTTTTTCTCAAGAAAAGTATAAGGCCATGATTACCGGGTAGTCATATTTATAAGCAAGTATCCTCAGGTAGTATAGAGGGAAATCTGAAGAAGAACAGCAGGGCCATGATTAACATTCCATCCTGAGATTGTGTTGATGCAGATTTAATTAAATCATGGCCCCAGGGTTTAATAGTGTAGATCTGCAAAGGGTCTCATGAGTTTTACAAGGGAATATTTAGGTACAAATCTTTTCGAGAGTAGAATGGGCCACACTTTTTCATATTAATTTGCCAACATTCAAGTAGTGTGGACCCTTTTTTAATTATAGACCCTTGGATAAGGATGCATGGGTCTAAAATTGGAAATAATATTTTATATATACCGGGGTAATGCATTTGTACAAGATTTTTTTTTTTTAAATCATTATCTCCAGGAAAGACAGCAGAGCCATGTTAGTCATTTTGATATTATAGAAATACCAAATGTGTGGATCTTCTGATAAAGTAAAGCAGGGCCAAGGTGACTCAGGTGAGCATTGTGGCCCATTGGCCTCCTGTTTTAGATCATCTGAGTCACATGGTCATGTATTGAAAAAATGTTGCATCTTTGAAAATCTGTTTTACTTTTTGACATCTAACAGAAAAACTGCAAGATTATGACAAACAGCTAGCCACCTACCAAAATCTTAAAATTTCTGGCCCCTGGCATGTTTCAGACCCTTGAAGGCGCTTCATTGGTCATATATTTGAAAGTGAGGCAAAATCTTTGAAAATCTTCATTATGCATGAACTTCAAGCAGGCAGTCCAGGGATCAGGCCTTAGGGTGGGGTAAGTGGGACATATATTGAATTTATCGTATAATGTACTGATTTTCTTTACCCTGGGCCTGAATGTCTAGGAGACAATTTTCAGGCACGTAGCATCAAAGGGGGGGGGGCCCTTTTTTCCAAACATAACCTATACTATTGAAGATGTTCATTGAAAGGTCGGTTGCCCCCCCCCCCCCCCATCACTTTTTGTTGGAGTATAGTCAAGTAAGGGTAATGTAGTATGTACTGTATGGTTTGGTACTGAAAGAAGTTGGAACATAAGCCCCCCCCCCCCCCCCCCCCCCCCCCCGGTACTCAGGTGATTATGAAGGCCCATGGGCCTCTAGTTTTGGTTAGTATTGAATATTAACAAAATTCATGTATGGTTAAATTTTAGGCATTGCAGAAGGATGACAATTCTGAGGAACAGAGAGAATTTGATGACTTCCAACATTACTTTCAACAATGGTTGAAGACAGTACCATTGCAGAAGTCATAGCTGGAAATATGAACAATATAACCTGTTACCTGTTATTCTTTACCTATATAAAATTGATATTCACATTGTAGTTGCTTTTCTTCAAGATGTAAACACTTGGTATCAGAGGCCTAAATTTGCTTGTGGATAGGACAAAATTAGAGAATATTTTCTCTCACTTGACCAATTAAAGTTTTTTAATACAGTTGAACTTTGTTATCTTAAACTTCAATATCTCAAAAAAAAAAAACAACAAGGATTTGTTAAAGTGAGTCGAAAGTCCAGCCACTTTTTCATTATGTATTTTGACCTTGATATCTTGAATCATTGGGTATCTCAAAATTTTTCTGTCCCATTGGATTCGAGATAATTAGGTTTGACTATAGTATGATTTTTGTTTCTTCATACAACGTCTGTTTATATAATAGTTAGCCCTCTCTAACACAAATTCATGTTCTGATATTGTGTTTCCTGTAAAATTGGGGGAAAAAAACACATCATACTGAGCTCAAAAAAGCCAATAATTGTATATTGTTCATACACTGACACAAAGAATCACAAGTCCAGCTTCTGTGATTTCATTGTTTTGAGATAAAAAAAAAAGAGGCCTAATCACCAATTTTTATGCCACTACCATGAAATGGTAGTTTGTCCTTGCTGACCCAGTGAGAGGGTCAAGATTAAAACAAACATGACCAGTTGTATCAATTTAGAATTTTTTGATCTATTTTTGGTCCAATGTAGAAAAAAAGTAAATGTTAAGTTCACCTGGAAGGCAGGTGCAGGTGAAATAAGCAATTTAATCAATTTAGAAGTTCTAGATCTATTTTTTGTCCATTGTAGAAAATAAATAAATGTTATGTTCACCTGGAAGATCGGGTGCAGGCCGGTGAATGTAATGTTTTATAAATTATTGTACTAAGTTCTTAACCTATTTTGACTGGTCTTGGTAGCCTAGTTGAAGGGCTTTCACTTCATGATTGGGAGGTCCAAGTTCGATTCTTGTTTGTTGCACCAAACCTAAGATATAAACACGAGTACCGGTTGTGACTGTTCCTTCACCAAGTGCCCCGCATTAGAAGTGAAAGTCACAGGTCTTTTGGATGAGACCTTAAAAACCGAGGTAGGTGTTGACATTATAAAGAACCTTCACTGCTCATTGGCCCCGAGTGCTGAGTATATAGGTCTAAATTTGAAGCCCTTCACTGGTATATGGTGAGGTCTCTATATGAGTGAAAAATTCTTGAATCGGATGCAAAACAAGATGCAATCAATCAATCGTAATATATTTTTATATAGTTTTTATAGTCCAATGAAGAAAAAATATACCGGTAAATGTTATGTTCACCTGGAATGTGTTCTGGTATGATTTCTACTATCATGTTGGATCTCAACAATGATTGTATAACCCTATTTGGTTAAAACTCCATGACTCTACCACAATTTTAATCATGATGTTACATTTGATTTTAAAAGTACATGTACTTCTATTTATTAGCAACACAGGCCTGTAGAAAACAATTTCAGTTTGGGAGGCACAACCAAACATTTTCAGTTGGGGGGGGGGGGGGGGGATTAATTAGCATATATTCCTTGACAAGCCAAAAAAAACCCCCAAAAACAAAAACAAGATGTGTTTGTGAAACACTCATGCCCCGTATGGCCTCATGGCGAAGGTTAAAGTTTCTCAAATGCATGTCAATCTCCAAGGTGAAAGTTAAGAGATCAAAACTATTTGTACCCTAAGAAAGGTCTTGCCAGGAAGAATAAACAGGTGAAATATGAAAGCCCTAGCACCAACCATTCATAAGTAATGGCCAAGGTTAAAGTATTTCAAAAGTAGGTCAAACTCCAAGTACTAGGTCAAAGGGTCAAAAATAATTTGTGGCCACGGGAAAGCCTTGTCACAAGGAATACACCTGTGAAAAATAAAAACCACAGCACCAAGTTGCCACCAACCATACTTTTCAAAAGTAGGTCAAACTCAAGGTCAAAGGGTCAAATTTGTTGGTACCCAAGGAAAGATCTTGTCACAAAGTCTAAGAACACACATGTGAAATATGAAAGCCCTAGCACTAACTGTTAAAAAGTAATGGCCAAGGTTAAAAATTTTCAAAAGTAGGTCAAACTCAAAGGTTAAAAGGTCAAATTGTTGGTTCACAAGGGAAGAATGCATCTATGAAATACGAAAGCCCTAGTACTAACCTTTGTGGCCAACATTAAAGTTTTTCATAAGTAGATCAAACTTCAACATCAAAAGTTACATGTACCCAAAGGAAGTACTTAAGAAATACACATATGTAACATGAAAGCCCTAGCTCCAAGCATTCAAAACTTATGGCCAATGTAAATTTTTTCAAAAGTAGGTCAAACTCCAAGGTCAAGGTCAAAAGTATTTGTACTCAAGGAAAGGTCTAATCACAAGGAATACACATATGAAGGATGAAAGCCCAAGCTTCAACTGCTCAAAAGTTATAGCCAAGGTTAAAGTTTGGTATAATTTTGCAAAAGTTGGCCAAATGCCAAGGTCAAGAGATCAAATATGTTGGTACCCAAAGAAAGGTCTTGTCACAAGGAATACATATGTGAAATCCATAGCTCCAACCAGTCAAATGTTGTGAGCAAGGTTGGAGTTTTTGTGGACAAACAGATTAAAAGACAGAGAGATGGACAGATAAAAAACTATATGCCCCTTATCTTCGATTACGGGGGCATAAAAACAAAACATCACACATTACTGAGGTGGCACAAGCATAAAGAGCTATAGTTACTAGACCATGTACATATTGCAAAATTATTGGGGGGCACAGCCCCCCAATAAAAATAATTTGATGCTGTTGACAATGATCCTGGTCACGGCACCAAATTTATATCAGAAAAGTATGGCTAGACCGGGAATCAAACCTGGAACCTCTGCATTACTAGTCAGCAGCTCTACTGACAGAGCTACCTGATATCAAAGGCCCAAACCATTATAATTAAAAAGATACATACACACACACATTTCATATAATGAATGTATTTGCTAATTAAGATTTTTTATTAAAAAGAATGCTATTTTGTGATATTAGTCTAGTACATGTTGAGCAATATAAAAAATCCATCTCTCAAAGTTGTATTACTTGATGATATTATGTGACAGTGAATTAGAGGAGAAAGCTCTTCTTCACTAAATTTATTTTTTGTTCAAATGAGAACAAATTTTAAACTTGGTTCACACCTAATAATCCACCAATTGTAAATTCTGTCAAGGAATTTTAGAATCTTAAAATACATTTTCACTGATGATTCCTTTTTATGTATTTGCCCCATAGTCACTGTTCTTTCTTTGGGTTGTACAGATGCCAGAGAAAAGAGAAGCGTTCCTCATATTTGTGAAGCACTTTAGGTTCAGAAGTCACTAACAGATTTTCCTGGTTACCTGTTATTGCCTGTCTTGTCCAATTAAAAGAACCATTCAGAAGTTTCTTGTTGTCTATGATCACAAATTTGTGATGCATAAAAAATGAAGAATCATCAGTCCTGACAGCTATGCCTAAAAAAAGCAAACCCGAGTTCATGAAAAGGGACAAACGCATAACATGATAGTTATTTATGTCTCTGGTAAGACATACCATATCAAACTTGGGTCGTTTATAAATGGAATACATGCCTTGGCTGCGGAGTTTCCAGATCTGTGAGCCTGGGATGTCTACCTGTTCACAATCTGTGATAACCCTTACACAAACTCCCCTCTCCGCCGCCTGGATCAACAGGTCGGCTAAGTCAGTGCATGTTATAACAAACACACAGACGTCCAAACTATGCACTGCTTCATGTAGATATCTGAATAGCTTACTTAGCGAGTTTTCTTCGTGACTGTAAGAACAACTTTCACTATCACATTCTGATGTGAAATGCTTAATGCATGCAACCTTTTTATCTGGAAAGAACAGTACTTCTGTATTTTTTTCCTTTCCTCTTACACTTCTCGTAAAGCGGTATTTATAAAATTGGTAAACTATCTCAGATATTACACAAATGCTTGCAAAAATTCCCAAAGTCCGCCACATCGTGTGAATACATTGATGCTGGTTAATTCGCGCCAAGGTAATGTCTAATTCACGTGCCCTAGTTTTACCAAGCTCCTACAGTAAACTGAAAGTGAAAGTTGCACGTCACGAAGCCTGTAAACAGTAGAGTAGCTTCAGTTAGTCGTGTATGATGATGTAGTTTTGACAAATAATCTATATTTATTAACTTATTTATTCTTCGATGTATAGTGGATTTGATTCAGCAAAATGGACGCATCTGATGTAACTCTTAATTTTGGAGAAGAGGACGAAATTGACAGACAGAAAAAACTCAAGTTAGTTGATACACAGGAGTCGGCGATTTTAGCAATAAACGTGACATATTAAGGTTAAAATAAGCAAATCCACAGTCTCGAGCTCGAAAATCCTAACTTAAATCTTTGCTTAGAAAAATTCTAGTGTAGAACTTCGCTCATAAAATCCTAGCCTAGAGCTTCGCTCACAAATCCTTGCCTAAGCTAGGATTTTGCTTATTTTGACTTCATTTCACGTTTACTAATAAATTTACCGATTCCTAAGGTTGATATTTGAAAGTCTGTCTACTTTATTTCAGTCCTCAATGCTATTTGAATTTTATATAAAGTGTTATATGAACCTATTCGATTTTATAAACATGATAAAATCAAATTATTTGTGGAATATTATCCTTGAAAATTTTGTAGGCATGTTAAGAGTTGTTGGGCCATTAAAAACTGTATATTCCATGAGCAATATGTCTGAATTACTTTGTTTGATTACAGTGTAAATACTATTTTAGTTTTTAAAAATATTAATTAGTTTATTTATCCAACCTGTAAAATAATGGGAGATTTTTAAGTGATTGACTACATCAGACATTATTCATGCATTTAAAAAAAAGGTGTTGAAGAAATTGTAATATAATTATATTTTGCAGACACCCTGTTGCAGTGTTTTGCCATTTAGTGTTCCGAGTTTTAGCAGTCTTAATGTTTATTTTATGTGGATGGTTTAGTACAAGTTTTATCACAAACTTCATTCTGATAGTCATTCTGCTGTCAATGGACTTCTGGACAGTTAAAAATATATCAGGTAATAGTTTAAAAAGAAAGTGAAATCCTGAAGTATCAGTATATATGTGTTGAACCCAACTAATTCAACTTAGAAATCATAATTTTTAATTAATACTTTTTTTATTCCAGCTACTGTTGTACATTTTACTGATCAGATCACCTATTCGGAATTGATTCATGCGAAATTGTACCCAATTTATTTATTTCAACATATTTTTGAAATGCTGCTCATTTTTCTTTCTGAATGATTTAATTTATTTCTACGACTATAAAATTTATTTTTTAAAACCCTGAACATTCCTACACCTGATATACATATTGTATATGTAGTAAATATCAAATTGTACACATGGTAGATATCAACTAATGTCAATGAATGAAGCTATGAAACATGGTTCACTACTGTAGATCACAAAATTTTCGTGACACCTTATTTTCTTGTGAAAGTTATTTTGCTATTTATAAGTGAGACAATTTTTTCATGACTTTTGGTTACTGCTGTACATAACCTTTAATTTTTAAATAATTAAAAGCACGAATGAAATTTTCACAAGCAAATGATCTCACGTAATTACGGGAAAATAAAGTTCTCATGAATAAAAAGTGATTTACAGTTTATAGTCCCCGTCCAGACAAGAACATGTGCACTAGTCTATTCTGAGAGCGAAATATGTTACTGTTAGTTGTTCAATGATTACATTGTATTGTGTAAAATTTACAAAATCAAAAAAGATTTTAATGCAATTTGTAATACATGTAGCAGTGTATTATACCAGACGTACTAAATTCAAATATGTCCATATGTACTGAAGTTGTCACTTTGTCTTAACTCGTGATCATTATTTGAAGATTCATTACTTAGGTTATTTGCAATATATTGGCTCCAAATTGTGATATCTTAATTTTAATGCTGTGTTACATTTGTCCCCTGCTTTCACGAAAGTGAGGGGACATTAAATCTCATTCATCTGTCAGTCTGTCCGTCTGTCACAAAAACTTAACCTTGGTCATAACTTTTGAATGAGAAGAGATAGGGCTTTCATATTTCACATGTAGTTTGACCTACTTTTCAAAAATTTTAACATCATTTTAAATTGGTCAAAACTTTTGAAAGAGAAAAGATAAAGCTTTCATATTACACATGTATATTACCTGTGACAAGACCTTTCTAAATATTCTATGAATTTTGACCCTGTAACCTTGACCTTGAAGTTTGACCTACTTTTCAAAAATGTTATTTTTCCAGAGTTATAACTATTGATTGAGAAGAGATAGGGCTTTCATATTTGACATGTGCATTACCCGTAACAAGATGTTTCCGAGCATTCTATGATTTTAGACCCCTTGATCTTGACCTTCATGTTTGACCTAATTTTCAAAAAAATTAATTTTGGTGATTACTTTTGAATGACATATGAAAGGCCTTCGTATTTGACACAATATGCCATAAATAATGGCTTCTCACCCACTAAGACACTGAAAGCGGGGGATCACAATTCTTTGAATTTGCTTGTTCCATTTATCTGTAAGTAGATTCTCATTATGAAATGAAAAATTTGTAGGTAGATTGTTGGTGGGATTACGCTGGTGGAACTACGTAGACGATGATGGAGTTAGTCACTGGGTGTACGAGTCTAGATCAAAGGTCAGCTTAATACTATTTAAAATTATTATAAATGGTTCATTTTCATTAGAAAAAAAATCATCAATATATATTTTGATTTGAGTATCTAGATTTCTAGTTAAAGAATAAAAGATTATTTCCTTAATAAGTTTGTCTAATATCATGTTATGTCTATAGAGCAAATCACATACTGTAGGGGAAAGATTGCGTGAGCTTATGCTTGGTAAAATGTCTGTCATTATCCTTTTGCTAACTTGTGAGTGCATACAAATTCCAAAGATGCTGTGCCTAAGAAACTTGTGATACTTGGTGACTATAAAGGCCTATGGGCCTCTTGTTTTGGTTAGTGTTGACATTTGAAAACCATATTCACTATTAAGACTTGACACACTAGGCTACTCTGTGATACATCACTCTGTAATATCATCAGTATGTGATTTCATATATTGGTGATTATCATGAATGAGCACACTGTAGACAGCATATAAGGTGCTAAAATCTGGCTAAAACAAGCACACAAATGGTATAATAATTAGAAATCACTATTTTTTTTGGGGGGGGGGGGGTAATTTTTGTTGTTTTTGAGTATGAAGAGACCCACAAATTCATGTCCACCACAAAATGTAAAATGTAAGATAAATAAACACCTAACAATTCCACAAAATCAAATCCCCATGAACACATAATTTTTCCTCAGACCACAAAAATTTGACCCCATGAAAATAACTGATTTTACAGTATGCTGCTTCTTAATTTCTGTATCATTTTAATGAGGACTGAAATGTTGTTACTTTATGAACCCCCCTCCTCCCCCCCCCAAAAAAATGAACCTACATGTAAGTGTACTTTCCCTAATGTCTTTAAATTGTGTCAAGTACAACCGTGCAGAGCTACAGTTCCACAAAGGATTTCTGATTATTTTTTCAGAGTCAAAATAAGGTCAAAGTGTCTGCAGCAGAAGCAAGAATATTCTGGTTGTCTCTTATAATCTGTCAGCTCATCTGGATTGTTTTTGTATTTGGAAGCATATTTGGATTAAATTTAAAGTGGTTTGTAAGTACATGTATTGGAACCATATTTGGTTTAAATTCAAAAAAGGTTTGTAAGTATATGTTAAGCATGAAAAGTATACATTTTACAGTGCATTTAGAGTGCTATTTATTTCAAACAAGATATTGCTGTATTAATTTGAATTGATAAATTTATGGGAATTTATTTTTCATGAAAAATCCCATATGAAAAATCACCCTACTGTAAACATACTCTTTTCCCACGTGACTATAATTCTGTGAAATCAAAATTTCTGTTCAATCCGCGGTTAGAAAATTATACAGATTTTCTTTAGATTTCTATTGTATGTTTAAATGCCTTTTAACATGTTTTAATCACTCGACAAATTTCTGCAGAAAATATGAGATCACGTATGTAAATTAAAACGTAAATTAATCCACACAGAAAAAGGTACGCCTACAGTATTTTCATTTTAGAAAGTAGAAACTAGACATAATTATTCAAAGGGGCAAATTTTAAATAGAAAATACTAAATCCCCGTCTCATGTGTTCTTAACAGATGGTGGCTTTGGTTGGTGTAATAATGAATGGAGCCAATCTGTATGGCTATATCAGGTGTAAATATGGATCCAAGACAAAACTTTCATCAGTTGCCACCGGATTTTTAGGGCAGCAGATCTGGTCTAAGGTAATTAATGATATTATATACACTCTGTCATTTTTATTTTGATGGGAATGGGTCAGCATTTCCTTTTATATAAGGATGATATTACTAGTTTCCTAAAAAGCATTTGGATTTTTCCATTAAATACATTAATAAATTACATACATTTAAGTAATGTATTCAGTCAAGACCCTGGGGAATTGTTCTTTTTTACAACACTGATTATTTATAGCATGAATGATTTCTGAACTTCATTTTCATGAAAATTCATTTAAGATTTGCCTCTCAAAAATGATTTTTATCTTAATTTTTAGATGACACGACAAACAGAGGATCAGGAGCTGCAGAAGTAGAGTTATTTTCTAATTAAATCCACTGCTTGTTTATTATGACTCTGTATATAAATGTAACTTGTATGTATATTTGTTAATTGTAAAATATATGTACATGTAACTAATATAGCTGTTAACTATTCTCAGAGGGTAAACACTATGGTTAGGATGTATTCTGTGTGTATGTACAAGTTAAACATTCAGTAGTCTTATTTTACAGTATTAAATATGTAATGATTGTGTATAATGAAATGCTGTATTTACTGTGCTTTAGTTGTCTTGATTCAATACCTTTTAGATACAGGACACAACATCCATGTTAAACTTATACTCTGTCAAAATCAACATGACATTAAAATTATTCAGCTAAGTTTATGGTCAATAAATTCCTTTCCTGGTATAAGATAAGAATAGCTTATTAAGTGGTAAGGTGTCCATTTCAAAATGTTCCTCTTAATTCCTACAGTTTTGGCTCAATTTTAATGAAATTTGGCATACACTTAAGACTAATTTACAATTCATAATTCTCTTTATCACATTTTGATGAGTGGTTTTGCTGTGGTTACTAGACCACTCCTCCTACAGTTAATTTGTTTTGCTTGCAACCAAGATCTAAATTAAATGTTTTATATTGGAGTGTCATTTATCCAAATGCCAATAATCTGGACATCAATTATCACCTTTTGGACGAATTTTGTGGGGAACAGAATTTATATTTACAAATTCTAAAAAAAAAAGTACAGCTGTATGTTTCAGTAATCCGGATTCTACGACTTGCAAGGGAACAAAACGTCCAGATTAAATAGACTAGACTGTATGTAGGTTTGTCTTAGTTGTATGCCAAGGTTTATTGAAATTGGACCAAAACGCTAAAGAAGTAGCATTGCGTAAAATGACACACAAGAAGATTTTTAAAGATTTTTCCTTTGTATCTCGATGTAAAAATTGGATTCCCTAATGTGGCCCCACCCTACCCCCAGGGGATCATGATTTGAATTATTTAGAATCTACACTATTCCAGGATGCTTCCATAAAGTTTCAGCTTTTCTGGCCCAGTGGTTCTTGAGAAGAAGATTTTTAAAGATATTTTCTATATATTTCAATGTAAAACTTGGATTCCCTATTGTGCCCACCCCTACCCCCCGGGGTCATGATTTGAACAATTTAGAATCTTCACTACCCTAGAATGCTTTGATCCACATAAGTTTCAGCTTTTCTAGCCCAGTGGTTCTTGAGAAGAAGATTTTTAAAGATATTTTCTATATATTTCAATGTAAAACTTGGATTCCCTATTGTGCCCACCACTACCCTCGGGGTCATGATTTGAACAATTTAGAATCTTCACTACCGTAGATGGTTCCACATAAGTTTCAGCTTTTCTAGCCCATGCAGTGGTTCTTGAGAAGAAGATTTTTAAAGATATTTTCTATATATTTCAAGGTAAAGCTTGGATTACCTATTGTGGCCCTGCCCTACCCCTGGGTGGTAATGATTTGAACAATTTAGAATCTTCACTATCCCAGGATGCTTCCACATAAGTTTCAGCTTTTCTGGTCCAGTGGTTTTTAAGAAGATTTTTTAATGACCCCACCCTATTTTTGTCTTTTCTTGATTATCTCCCCTTGGAAGGGGGCTTGGCCCTTTCTTTTAACAATTTAAACTTCCCTTCACACAAAGAGTTTTGTACCAATTTTGGTTAAAATTGGCCCAGTGGTTCTTGAGAAGTTGAAAATGTGAAAAGTTCACAGACGGACAGACAACGGGTGATCAGAAAAGCTCACTTGAGCTTTCAGCTCAGGTGAACTTAAAATGATTGAAATATTTGGTGAAACCCAGGAGCTTCCGGAGGCTTTGCCCCCTGGGCCCCCACCAGGGCTTTGTCCTGGACCCTCTGGGAGTCTCATGGCGGCCCCCACACTCCTTATTGTTCTCTGCGTACACTTCACTTTTATTCTGGCTACGCGCCTGACTGGTCTCATCAATTCAATTGCTGTGTGCATCAAATTTATTAATTATTGCTCTTATTAATTCAGTTGATGTGATCATATTTTTCTTCTCTTCTCACAATTGTACATTTTGACATAGAAATGGTAAATTGAGTTTTATTAAATACAATCCAAGTAAGCATCATGTGATTGGCAGCAGTAATTTTTTTTTCCTTAATGCCACCTTGAAACAAGACTTTAGATTGGAAGCTTACAAATGCTAACAATATTACAGTTTGTTTGGTAAATCTTATCTATTATATTCTAAAAATACATGTACAGTTCCCAATTATAATTTTATTTTAGAAAATCCTTTATGCCTTTGATTGTCTGAAATGTAAATTAAATTCATTAAATTTTAAAAGCAGCTATATATAGATATTTTCCTACACCATTGTTCTGCCAAAAATGTAATCCCTGCTTGATTTAAAACTCAATTTTCCATTTTTGGTATGTCAAAATGTACAATTGTGAGAAGGGAAGAAAAATATTCTTTATGTCTCTATAATTAAGACATTTAAACAAATATACTGGTTTCTAACCAATTAAAATTTTTAAGTATATCTGAGTATATATGCAAGTTTCTTTTACTCATGAATATTTCTTACCATGAACCATTATTTGTGTAGTTTTCTCAGTCATGAAAACAAATTGTCATGGATAGATTTCAGACAAATCATATATTAGAGGTACTGTGAGTAAGCTAAACAAGATGTGTTTCTGAAACACTGATGCCTCCGTATGGCAACTTATAGTGAAAGTTAAATTTTCTCAATTGCAAATCAAATATGTTGGTACCCAAAGTAAGGTCTTGTCCTGAGGAATATACCTGTGAAATATGAAAGCCCTAGCAGCAATCATTGAAAAAATACGGAAAATGTTAAAGTTTTTCGAAAGTAAGTCAAACATCAAGGTCAAGGTCAAAATTAATGGTGCCCAAGGAAAGGCCTTCTCACAAGAAATACACGTGAAGTATGAAAGCCCGAGCACCAACCGTTCAAAAGTTATGGCCAAGGATAAAGTTTTCCAAAAGTAGGTCAATGTTCAAGGTCAAGGTCAAAGTTGTTGGTATCTAAAGAAAGGTCTTGTCACAAGGAGTATATGTGAAATATGAAAGACTTCGCACCAACTGTTCAAAAGTAATGACCAAGGTTAAAGTTTTCTGAAAGTACGTCAAACTCCAAGGTCAAGGTCAATGGGCTATAATTGTTAGTATCTAAAGGAAGGCCTTGTCACAAGGACTATATGTAAAGAATGAAAGCCCTAGCACCAACTGTTCAAACGTTCTGGCCAAGGTTTAAAGTTTTCCAAAAGTAGGTCAAACTCCAAGGTCAAAGGGTCAAAGTTGTTGGTATCCAAAGGAAGGTCTTGTCACAAGGATTACACATGTGAAGTGTGAAAGCCCTAGCACTAAACGTTCAAAAGATATGGCCAAGGTGAAAGTTTTTCAAAAGTAGGTCAAACTCCTAGATCAAGGTCAAAAGGTCAAAGTTGTTGGTCTCCAGAGGAAGGTCTTGTCAAAAGGATTACACATGTGAAGTATGAAAGCCCTAGCACCAATTGTTCAAAAAATATGACCAAGGTTAAAGTTGGGTAAAATTTTGTAAAACTGGGTCAAACTCCAGGGTCAAGGTCAAAAAGTCAAATATGATTGTACCCAAAGAAAGGTCTTGTAACAAGGAATACACATGTGAAATATGAAAGCCATAGCTCCAACCAATCAAAAGTTATTAGCAATGTTAAAGTTATTTTGCGGACAAACAAATAAAGAGACAGACAGACAGACAGGGCAAAAACTATATACCCCCGAATCTTCAATACGGAGGCATAAAAATAATATCCCCGGAAGCAATTTTCTTTTAGTGTCTATTTGTAATTTTGTAAATGTCACCTTGAACTTGCCAAAATGACTTGTTTAAAAAAATGACACATCCTCTCGTCATAAGTAATTTTGAGTGAACTATGGAAATCTAATGTTTCTCCATTAGAAAATTATGGACCTGTAATGAATTTTACAATTTTTCTACCAGTGACCTTAAACTCAACATGCTCTTAGGTCAAGGTCATGATGCACCCTGAGGTTATAAATAATCTTTGTACCAAGTATGAGCTTCCAATGATTCTACACTGCAAAGTTATAGCCCAGACAAATTTTTGCTGGGGACTTTGAACTTGCCAGAATGAACTTGGGTGAAGGTCATGACACACTCCCAGGTCATAAACAACCTTTGAAGGAAGTTTGGGCTTCATATGATTCTCCATTACAAAGTTATAGCCCATGCCAGTTTTTTAAATACTTTTTCTATCAATGACCTTGAACTTGCTGGAATGACCTTGGGTCAAGGTCAAGGCTCACCCTCAGGTCATTAAAAATATTTGTACCAAGGATTCTGCGATGCAAATTATAGCCCACACCAGTTTTTAAATATGTTTTCTGTCAGTGGCCTTGAAATTGCCGGAATACTACGGGTCAAGGTCACAGCACACCCTCAGGTCATTAACAATCTTTGTAACAAGTATGATCATCCAATGATTCTCCATTACAAAGTTGTAGCCTAAACAAGATTGTACACAGACAGACACACAAGGTGATTTTCATATACCCCCCCCCCCAAGTTCGTTTGTGGGGTATAAAAAAAATGTCATGAATAATAGTTGGTTTAAAAGTCATGAATAGCTCAATTGTTCTGGTAAATGAATAAGCAATGCATATTACTTATTTTACAATTATATTTGGCTCATATAAAAAATCCACATGCAAAAAACACAAACAAGAAGAAAAAGAGATCTTCAGTCATGGCTTTGACATATCCCATGATTCTGCTGTAAGTATGGATCAGGTGGGGTGAAATACCACACAACATTAAGGCAGTAGACATGATGTTTTGTCTTTGGTATATATGCACATCCTGGAAAAGAAAATCATCATCAAAAATCTAAAGTGAGAAATAGGGTGCATTTTTCCTAGTTAATACTGAAATGCTTGAACATTGATTTTTTTTAAGCTTTTCTTTTTTGCAAAAATATTTATAATTTTTTTTTCTTTGTAATGTGGGGAGATAGTTGAATCAAACTCTAAATCCTCATTTGTGAAATGAAAATAATGAAAACATAGGATCTAGGTTCTTACCTTTAAAAAATTGTTTTTGAAGAGATGCAAGCCTGTTTGAAAGGCAGTAAAAGGTAAAAATATTGTCTGAAAAAAGAATTACATGTACAGGTATATTGATACTAGATTCATATAAGCCACCTGTATAGAATCAAAATTGCTAAATTGAAAAGCACTAAATATTTGTAATCCAGAAATTTCTGATAAGAGTTTTGTACTTGACTTCTCTTCATTCATAACAGAACAATTTTTTTTTTTAACAGAAACGAACACATATTTCATTTTCTTAAATACTGACAGAGGTCAGAATGATCCCAAATTATACATCAATAATACAGGTGCAGATAAAGGAATTTTTTCGGGGGGGGGGGGGGGGGGGGGGGGGGGTTCCACCCTAGTCAAAAATTTTTCAACCCAGAAAATTTCTTGAAAGCAAAAAAAAAAAAAAAACAAAAAAAAAGGTAATGTCCATTCCTAAACGTGAGAAAAGCCTATTTCATAGTGGGGTCCAATGTCATTTTTTACTTTCTTCAATATATACGTATCATAACTCTGCAAATTCCAGGGGGGGTGGGGGGGTGGGGTTCCAGACCCTGGTTACCTCCCTCTAGATCCGCACATTCAATAATCTTTTTTCTAAAGACCACGTGACTCTAAAAACTAGGAAAGTTTCTTTAATAATTCAAACCAAAAGGCCTAACATATAAATATTTTAAGGACAGATGATACAGATTTATTTCCAAAAATCATAAAAATAACAACTAAGCCATTTTAATATAAATAAAATGAATAATCTTAACTGCATATATTTTAATTTTTCATTCAAGGTTTCACAGTAATGTCTTACAAAGTGAGGTATATGGATTTATCAGGGTGATGTCAAAAATGTAGAATTTTGAACATCATAGAAAGTTTTACAAATTTTTAAATATTTTAGAAATAATATTTGCATCATTTACAATCAAAATAAATTCAAAATATATATATCATTCCAGGCATCTAATATTTTTGTTTGCATCATCTGTCCTTAAAATATGATAAATACATGTATATTGAAGCACTATAAAAACACAAATTATTCATCTAAATAAGGAAGCGCATAAGCATTAAATATTATTTGATTGTGAAACTGTAAATCTGTTGTTCACAATCAAGTATGTACATTCACATCAGAAAGCTAAAATGTCCCAAGACTGACAGCACAATTGAAAGAAATGGAAACCTATGCTCAGAGCTATACAATAACACATCTGTTTATAGATAGTGAAAATTATTTACAAATCTGAATACATGTAAACCATACGAAGGGTTATCAAAAAGTTTGTGGACTAGCGCCATAAAATTAAACCCGCTTCAGGTACATAAGTGAATATTTACACATTTAATAAGCATCATCTTTTCTATCTATAGATGAATCCCACTGTGGGACGTGGAGACCGGTCCTTCGGATGAGACCGTATAAACCGAGGTCCTGTGTCGCAGTAGGTGCTGGCACGAAAAAGATCCCTCACTGCTCAATGGCCGTAAGTGACGAGTATAGGACAAAATATTTGCAGCTCTTCACCAGCAAGTGGTGGCATCTCCATATGAGTGAAAAATTCTCGAGAGGGACGTTAAACAACAAACAATCAATCTATCTATAGAATAAACCATAAATCATAAATTTTATTTTTTTTAATAAATTGTATATGTTTTTGTAAGCAATGGCATGTCAAGGCGGCACAACCTCGAACACAACGTTTTTTTCTACCTGAGTGGAACTGAGAAAACTTTGAAATTAGCATCTGTCATCAAACAAGAGAACCAAGCCAATAAGTTTCTGAAATATTTAAATTTAGCCATGAAGTTGCAAAAGTAGGTCACAGAGACCTACTTTTTGGTTGATACACTCCGAGGACTCAAGATGCATTAACTGACAAAATTTGAAAATTCTAAGCCAATTAGAAACTGAAAAAGCCATCAAATTCCAAAAGTAGGTCACAATGACCTACTATTTAGTTGACACACTTTAAGGACCCAAAATGCATCAACTGAAAAAGTTTGATGATTCTAAGCCAATCAGTATCTGAAAAATTTAAATTAAGTGATGACATTGCAAAAGTAGGTCAAATTGACCTACTTTTTGGTTGACACACTCCGAAGACTCAAGATGCATCAACTGACAAAATTTGATGATCCAGTGCTTTAAAATGTCCAAAATATGCTTCTAAAAAAAAATTGAAAATGAATACCTGTAAAATTCCAAAAGTAGGTCACTGTGACCTATTTTTTTTATAAATCTGTTTTAAGGCCCCTAGGTGCATCAACTTCCAAGGTTTGATGATTCTAAACCTCTTAGTATCTGAAATAATGACCTTTATGGTTTAGAAAATGGTTAACCATAAAATTCAGAAAGTAGGTCAGGGTGACCTACTTTTTGGTTGACACACTTCAAGGTTCCATGATGCATAAACTGACAAGTTTTGATGATCATAGGCTTCAAAGTATCCAAGTTATGCATCAAAATTAAAATGAATACCTGCAAAATTCAAAAAATACTTTTGAGTCAACAAGATTATACAACAAGATGTATCAACCGACAAGATTTGATCATCCTAGCCCTTATAGTGGGCAAAATATCAAAGATTAAACAAAACGTAAATTTTGGTCAACTTTGAAGTGACCTTGAGACCACACCCTTTGCCCCAGGGTGATGCCTTGATCAATTTTTAATCTACAAAATATCCTCATCCTTGTATGTAAGTTTAGTGATAATCTGCGTAGTAGTTCTTGAGAAGAAGATTTTTTACCAACCACTACTTTTGTTTTCATTTCCTTAATTATCTCCCCTTGGGGACACATCCTTAGTTTTAGCAATAAATGTAAGCCCTTGGGCCAAGGATTCTCTGTGACAAATTTGAAAAAAAAAATTACTAAGGGGTTTTTGAGATATGGCCCATTTTCCAAAAGGTTTATGCACACCGCACAAATGGCCATAGCATTAGCTCTTTGAGCCTTTGGCTAAGAAGAGCTAAAATTCCCGTTAATTCAGGCATTTAGTATGACAGAATTGTTCCATAAAATTTGCAATTTTTACCTCATTCTGTAAGTTCTATGAAATTTTATCGTAAATTTTACATAGAGTGTCCAAACAATTAAGGGCTTGAAAATAACGTCAAAAAGAATGAGTTTCTTTTTTCCAACAGTATAAAGTTTCGCCATTGGACAAACTGATATAAACCTAAGAAATGTTTAAACTGACTACAGAGAAATGAAATCCATCTAAGAGTACTTGGTTTTAAATGCCAAAAAAGATTCAGAGAGATGAGACATGCACAATTAATGTCGATTTGTAGTCGGGGTGTCAAAAGTCAGTCAAGTCGAAAAGTTATGTTGATCACGTGTGGTAGATATTGAACTCCGACAACCAAAATATGCTGTCATAATCAAGTGAAGATCTTTCCATATGTATAGATCTATTTACAATATTATATGTATTGAAAGCAGCTGTTTATGACATTGTAAAGTCATATAAACAAGATGGGTTTAAGTCCTTACAAAACTCCAGGGAATCTCATCTATCTTTTACTTTGAACTTTTCACATCAACTGAACTCACCTCAAAATAAAATAATCCATATCCAGATTTTAAGACCATTCGACTGACAAATGCTATCAAAATGCAGCCCAGTATGCGATACATTTCAAACAGCTGACCCTGGGAGTATGTAGATTTCCAGGAAGGTTGGACGTTGGTTGACTGAGGTAATGGCACCTGGTTGGCTTCACGTTGGACATCTACTCTTTGTAACTTTACAGTATTAGGACTCTTTCGTTGCCGGACTTCGCTTTGATAAGGCCTAGATATTGACAGGGGTCTTTCTTGTGAATCTCCTGCCTCTGATTTTTCTGCAGTTTCTTCTATGTTTTTCATACTTTGATCAATCTCATGCTGTCTGTCTGTTCAAGTGAAATACAATCTTATTAAATGATTTTACCCAAATAAAGTCATGCGTTGACACTATTATTTAACCTTAACTAATAACTAATTGAAATGAATACAATTTAAACTATGTTTCAATTTATATAAGGAACAAAGGAACAATGCAGTTTCAGCTGTATGTGGAACAACTGCCCCCTAAAATTAACCATTTTTTTTTTGGGGGGGGGGGGGGGGGTTAGGGGATATAAATTGGAAATCCATACACACACATCAAATATTAAATACATTGTATTTGTATTCACTGAGTATTTTTTTCATTTCTTAGGAAAATGGATTTCAATTAATCAATTGGTAAACTATAAACTAGTTAGTACATGTACCATACTTTTTTGCAACCATCTATATGAAAGATTTGGTTCTTCCATTAATGTAAGGTCCGGATCAATATAATTAAAACTCACTTTTACCCATTTTATACAAATTATTCATACAGATATAAATATAAGCAATAAATTGTATTTCTTTTTTGTTAATAAGGGGATTCACAGTTGCAAACAATGCAGAAAAAAATCCGCTAAACCAACCCAATACAGATTGTGTATTTTTTCTGCAATATGTCACAATGCCCTGTATTAACAAACAGAGAAAGCATTTCATTGTTTAACCAAAGGGCTCTAATGAGACTGTAGCTCCACTGGTTTGTACTTAAAACAAAGGAAGAGTAAAGAAGCACTTGGACTTGAAACTATGCCACAGCAATAAATGGAATAATTATAATCCTTGGTTTAGTATCTCTTTGTAGCACAATTTATAGCAATCAGACTAAAACTGAAGGGAGAGTAGCCTTTTGCAAGAATTTTACAGAAATTTCTATTTTATGTAACCATGATAACACCCTTCAAAATTATACACAACACCTATATACAGAATTATGTATCTTAGTGTAGTCTACTTGTGTTCCAAGTGATATTGAAATCAGACCAAAACTACAGGAGGAGTGGAGTTTTGAAAGTATTTCACAGAAATTTCTATTTTTAGTGACAATGGCAATACCATTCATCGAAAATAAAAACGGATACACAGAACTATGTTTCTTAGTATAGTCTATAGTTTGTCAAGTTATATTGAAATCAGGCCAAAACTGTAGGAGGAGTAGTGTTTTGAAAGCATTTCACAGAAATTTCTATTTTTAGTAATCATGACAACAACATTCAACAAAATCAGAAACTGACAGAACTACAGTCAAACCTCGTTATCTCGATTTCAATGGGACCAAGGAGTTTTATAACCTCGGGGCCTGGTCTCTGACCAGTAGAGCAAGTACTGCCTAAGTACTGCATTTTGAACAAACTCTACTCAAACTTAGCAGAACAAACCACCACATCATGAATTCCTCATTTGACATTTTCCTTTTTTTTTTTTTTTTTTTACCAGACCACAAATCAAAAATGTTATTTTGATTGACTGTCTTATAGAAGATTTTTTTTCTTTCTCTACATAATTATTTGTATGTAAATATACATTTAGTGTTAGTCCTTTATAAATTACATTGCAATTTTTCCACAGAAAAGAGACAATGAACATCTAGCTGGATCAAATAAAAATACCTGAAATGTTTTTCTCATCTGTCATTTGTTTGCCTCTACATAATAAACAGGCCTTTCTGCTTCCAAAATTGATGTTACCACACCTAAAATAAATATCACAGTTTTATTGAGCTTGAAATATAAGTGAATGCAGCAACAACAGGGCCACCGTAAAGGTTTCTAAAATGGGGGGGGGGGGTGCAAAGAGGGTCTGGGAGGGGTCTCCTCTCCTCAGAGCTAGAAATTTTTTTTATATATGGGAAACATATATACCCATGTAAGTTATGGGTAACATGACCCAATCAACATTCCATAGATTCTAGATGAGATAACACTTGAAGTGTCTTCCTCAGTTTGGTGTACTAGGTATCTCTTTGTGAAAAACCATACTTATGAAGACGTAAGGAATATTGAAGTAATACAATTTAACATGGTTTCTTGAAGTTTATGTACTGTAAAAAACTTTTTAAATTCATTAGAGGGATAAAGTGCACTGCTGGCACACATGATGCACCTGTCATATATTGTTATTTAGCAATTAGCATAAACAGATGAGTGTGCGTGGAAGAAAATCATGCAAAAACCTTGGTAACAAAGATTTCAATGTTTTTTCCACCTCTAATGTTTAGTGTGCATCTTCTATGCCATCATAATTAATTAGAAAAAAAAAATAATGCATCATACATTTCTCTAATGGTCATGACACAAATGCCCAATCTGCAGCTTTGTTCATTGTATTGTTTATGAAAGATAAACAATGTCACAGCCTGATAAAACATCAAAATACTAATAACCATGTTTATGATGACACTGACAAAACTTTTGCCATCTGTCATCTTAAGGGGACATGACACTCAACAATTTGTTTGTTAGGATATAAAAAATAATCAAAAGTCTGAAAGGAATCAATGACATTGAACATGAAAAACAATTTTTAAAAGTTCTTTTGGAATTAAATGAAAAATTAAACATTGTAAACATTAAAGTACTTATAGGTGTGGGGCTTTATTTTATGGTTCAAATTGATCAGGGCTTGAATTACCCAGTCAGACTCTGTCGAAAGAAGACAAACATGGAAGCTGTTTTCATGTTATTGAATAAGTTATAAGTTCATCTTTTTTCAGCTGAAGAGCTAGGAAGGATGTTTTTTCATTAACATAGCATCAACATAGGGCCTATAGTTACTTAAGAATGAATCTGCTCCAAAAACTTGAACATGGTTCTACATCCAGAAAATGTAGGTCAGGTCCAGCATCCGAAGCATATCTAGTAGTGTGCATTCTTGGATGAATCATCAATGCAAGTTTGGTCAACGTAAGGCTTATAGTTACTTGGAAATGAGACCTGCTCCAAAAACATTAACTTGGTCATTCTTTAGCAGAAATTGCAGCATCTGAAACCTTGACTGGTACAATGAAACATGCTAGAAGCATCTTCCATGCATCTCTGATTAATATAGGGCCTAGAGGTACTTGAAATGAAATCTGCTCCAAAAACTTCAACCTGGGACACCAACAGTACAACATAATCTCCCCCAACTGAGGTGAGCATAAAACTGATAAATGGACTTATATATCTTTGTGTAGTCTTCTTGTGTACCAAGTTACATTAAAATTGGACTAAAACTGTACAGTAGGAGGAGTAGCATTTTGAAAAAACAGACAGATGGACACCTTACTATCTCATAAGCTTTTCGAATTCTAGTCTCTGACCAGTAGAGCTAAAAAGGGTGTATTTTCATGGATAATCTTATATTGTTAGATTTTCAGGAAGTTTTTTTTAACTCCATGAGGCATTGGTCTGATGATGACTTACTTGTCACACTGCCATTCTCCACTCTCAGCTGATTTGTTCTCAGTGTCTCCTTCATCTAAAAAAACAAACAAACAAAAAACAAAACAACAAGAATATAGCTTTACCATAAGTATAACCTTGGGCATTACAGTCCATTGATATATAATGAAAACATTTCAAATAAAGTACCGGTACAGTCAAACCTGTATTAAGCAACCTATCAAGGGAAATTCTAAAATGGTCACATATGACAGGTAGTCTAAAATGCATAAGTAGTATAGGAACAATGTACTTATTTTCCTGTTCCTTCATCATAGTTTTTATTCATTATAATTTTTCTTATTTAAAAAAAATTGTTTTTGTTCCTACAATGCTAAATGTAAATTTAGTTTTTGAAAGAAAATCCAAAACAAATCTGTTTTAATCATGTTCCACACTGTTAATTAATACAATGTCAAGGAGAAAAACTACTCATGACAGGGTTATGCCCAAAAGAGAAAAACATGATGGGCAAAAAAAAGATAAGTGCAATATTTTTTATGCACATATGTACACAAATTTGTACACTTCTTGTCAAAACCATTTAAGACTTAATATATAGTTACTTATTTAAGTTTCTGTTTGATACCAAACCATACACTGTGAGATATTCCATTTGTCAGGGGTTCAAATTCCTCAAGCCAGACATCCTAGACTTGGTAATTTCAGTTTTGGATTTGGCATTAAGAATCGCCCAAAGTCCGAGGACTTGGCATTATTAGATTTAATAATTTTATTAACTCCCTGAAATATAGGTTGAAAAATCTCAGAACGTATGAACGTCTCGTGCTTATTTCACTGAGTATAATTTTGAGAATATTTTTTATCACAGTAGTTCAAGTGTTCTCAAAATTACAATCTGCCTTTATATTCAGGGTCTTTGACTGTTTAAGGCTGGAAAATGATAGTCACATGTTGCATTAAACAGTGAGCAGCTGAATACAGGTAAAATATAATGAAAAATTCTTGGGAGGAAATTTATGGTCGCATATGATAGGAAGTTGCTTAATACAGGTGGTTGCTATGACAGGTTTGACTGTATGTATATTACAATAAAGACTCTTAAGGAGTCTAAAATTTTCAAATATTATTTTTAAATTCTAGAATTTAGGACTGCCTGGGTTTGTTGTATGTGGTTCAGATTTTACAACTGCACTTTCTTCTGTGTGAAAAAGTATTAATCATATATTAGGAATTACAAATATTTGCGATGTGTGAGGATTTTTACAAGGAATAATTGTTTTGAGATGCCTCGTGTTCAGAATGTGGTAAGTACAAGTTAACTCTATAGAACAAGTACTGTAAACAGGTGAACTGAGCAGATGCCATAATTAAGGCTTAATTCTGACCTTGTGCATTTATGTGCATGTATGAATAAGGTATCACAATGTCCATTTAATTAAGAAATGAACAACGTTTTTCAGTGAACATGGCGTTAACAACAACATTAGCTCTGCACACATATTCCATGATGCCTGTCACGGCGTCATGGTAAAGCTTATTAAAAGTTGTTCTTAACACCATGTTCACTGAAACAATGTTGTTTGTTACTTATATTTGCATTCTGTGACGTTGTCAAGAATGTCAGAGGAAATCCTGACCTGGATAAAGGCACGGCTGCTTGTCTTCATTGGGAAAAAAACTGATAACCATTAAATCATCAGACCTGATTAATCCACCTTATTTCAATAAATCACAAACAACATACATGGTATTTGCTTCTTAACCCCCGTTATCTGGCTACAAACAGCGTTTTTACCCAGAGAATTTAAATAAAAACTACAAATTATTCCTTTTGCAATATCTTTTGTAATTATACACTTTTTTTAAAAAAGATATAGTAGTGCAGACGCTTGATCTGTGAGAGTGTCAAAAACGAACTGCAATCGTAGCAATATGAATGCAACCGGTGAGTGCAGGTTCACAGAGCTAGAAAACAGAAAGTATGCAAAAAATATTTAAAAACCCAAGCAAATGTGTTAAAAGAGTATAGCATTAACAGTTTTCCACTGCCTTTTCCTTGAAAGTGAAAATAATGGCTTACTGCAAGTCTCAGGAGGGTCAAACTCCATGTATATTGGACACCTTGTGTTATAATTATCATACTATTGAGGTAAACTTTTAAGACAGAAACAAGTGCCTGTTAACAGGTTGGGACCACTCACTCAAATGGGATATAATAGCCTGTTTGGGTCAAGTGGTATATAAATTTACAGTGCAAAAGTTAAAAAAAAAAAATCCAGAGTGCAATATTGTAAAGCATTATAATGAAAGAGAACCAACAGGAATAAGATGGAATTTAACCACAAAACTGGAAGATCTAGGCATGGCTGATGACTTTGCTCTGCTTTCCTGGAAAAACTATATATTCACAAACACATCTTGTTTTTTTTTTTTGAAAATCATATACCCTTTGAATCATCACTTCATGGTATTAGCTCTTATGTACAATATAGTGCTTTAATACTCAAGAAAAGATATGGCTGCTTTATGTCACACATATGAACAACTATTTCCTTATTTTTAAATTTATTTAAACTCACATAACATTTGTTGTTTGTTCAGAAATTCATTGCATGTTCTGCATAGCTACACTTCTGATTTTTCATTGATGTCATATGTTTTCATGTTATTTATGAAGTCAACAATCTATGGAAATCTAATTTGGCAAATGCACATAATTTTACAGTATAAAAAATAATTCATATACATCAGGCCAAATAAAAAAATATGTATGGTTCCGGTTACCCGACCTTCCCTATTTTATACCCCCGACCCTAAACTTTTTTTTGGCAATTTTCATATTTTTTCCAGAATTTCCCCCAATTTCCGTCAATGGCTCCAGTTTAAGTTTTAGTTTCAGCAATGACGGCCTCCTTGCAAAACATAGTGCAAGTGTTTAATAGTGTTAAATCCAAAGCAAGCTAGCATGTAGGTGTCCCCTACCAATATTGACTAGTATATTATCACACCACATCTAAATGCCATTTGCAAGGCAGTGATAGGTATTATTTAGAAAAAATTAAGAAAATCATTTTGTTAAAAAAAAAAAAAAAAAATCCCTACCTACCTACCCTAATTTTTTTGGAAGTGTAACCGGAACCACACATATTTTTTTGTTTGGCCTCATTACATGTATATTGATGAAATACATTTACCAACATGAAAATTCAGTTGTTATTTAGACCATGTTTATGTGTATGGGCATTTCTAAGCTGTATTGTTGAGTAACTTGGATATTTTTTTTCTCTCCAGGGTGGTCTAAAAGTGAGTTTCAAAGCTTTATTTGAATGTTACCCAATCCATATACTTTTAAAGAAATTAAATGTTTTCTACAACTCATTATCAATTGCATTTCATATTTTTATCATATTTACCTGTCTGCTGATTTCTTTGAAAATTCTATAAAAAATGGCATCACTAGATCACCACAAAAAGATATCAAAAGAAGGAGAAGCAGCTGAATGGATGGTACACAGATAAAAATATCCATGGTCATCAGATTTGAGTAAGTTTATTATTCTAAATCAAATGAGGACGAGTAGACATGAATTAAGCTAACTGTAAATGTGTGAGCTGTACACAATTTAATAGCTGTGCTTACTTGGGCAATGGAGAAATGGTTAACATTTTGTCATGAACATTTATAGGGTTCCCCTCTATGGGTTCCCCTCTATTAATAACAAATATGATGTCACGTTGATGTTGTGTTGTGCGAAAATACAGAAAAAAATAAAAAAAAATACCACTATATAAATGGTGCCTGTTTTGGAATGTAACAGTTGAAATTGACACCCCAAGGAAAACCATTGCCAACCGACGCGTCAGCGGAGGTTGACAATGGTTTTCCGAGGCGTGTCAATTTCAAATGTTACCCTCCAAAACAGGCACCATTTATTTTATCACACTGAATGTCTTATTGATTTAGAATGTCAGCAAAAAGATTCGTCGATCGTCTTTATGTTCAGGTTTAGAAAGCTTTTCTCAATAAAAGCTTCGAAAAAGATTTACCGACCTCCTTATTGTTTGTTTGATACTCAAAGAGTCCTTCATCATCTAGTTTCGTTATTTCTCACATTGTCTCGCAAGCATGTTTCGTCTATCATTTGTTGTTTTCAAGCAAGCTACATGGGACACAAGCTTTTATTGATGTCAAGTTTACTCGGCTTCTTTCAAATGCACAACTGAGGTTTTGAGAATTCTACAGTGGACCGTACATGATTTGCGCGCATATGACATTTACGTTGCGTTACCCATTGTCAAGTATGTTGCTAACACTGAGGGTAACATTATGGATTGTTAAATGCGTCTTATCCAATCAGATTTTAGTATTTAACATGAAAGTATAATACAAAAACATGAATACCGACTGGTCGTGAAAACACATGACAGGACAGTATCAACTACTAAAACAATAAGGGAGGACGCCTTTGCCCATTCCTTGGTCAAACATGGGAGTCCTTCCTTGTGTTCTTTTAGCAAGGATCTATATACTAACCTAACTAGTATATAAGTCTATGTTTTCCGTAGTTGATATGTTTGTTTCTTTCTTTGTTTGTTTTTTGTTTTTTTTTTTTTTTGATAATTGAATATTTTGTTTCACAATAGGACAGGAGCAAGCCCATGTGTTTTATGCGAATTTACAACACTTTGGCTAAATAAATATATTTTTTCTGCACTGTAAATTATACAGGTTATTTATATCCCATTTTCGAGAGAGTGGTCCTAACCAGTATGAATATTGCCGTGTTTCAATTAATGCATTCATTCACAAATAAATCATATATTTACGGTCTTTTTCCTGATCTCCTGTTTGTCGACTATAAAGGCGATTTATTCTCTTCTCAGCATTCTCTAAAATTTTCTTTTTTCTTGCCTCGCTCCTTGCCCTTGATACTGTATCCGCCATGTTAATAATTTGTTTTCGTATCATTTATATATTTGATTGTATATATTGAATACACGAAAAATTGGTTCTCTTTTAAAATTTGATGCTTTGACCTTTTTATTATGAATTTAAAAATGAAATCTTATGAGCCTATTCAACCGCTACATATTTATACGAAACTATTATTAAGTAATATATTCGGAGTGCTGGTAAAATGAGTACGAAAACTTAGCCGGGTCGTTTTGTTGTTGTATTTTTGTGTTTTGTTTTGTTTTTTGTATTGCTTGAATTTCTCCGTTGTGGTTCAAAACCAAAAAAAAATATGTGTCATCACTAAAAGTAAGAATAATAATCTGATTTTCAATAATATATATATATATATATATATTGTTCATTACCTAGCCAACCTGGAAATTAGTGATATTTGTAAAAATACAGTTGTCTTATGATGTTTTAAGGCCTTTACTCATGATGCCTTGGCTCCATTACTACCAAGGAATGAACAGGTACTCTGAATGAGACATTAACCTATAGTACCGTATTATAGCGGGTTATTTTAGCGGGGTGCTTGTTTTGACTCATTTTAGCTTTTTGGTAGTGGCCCGCTAAAATTTTTAAAATTTAATCGCTAAAATATTCAGTATTCTTCATAGTTTCTTTTGCAAAGTGTTTGTACCCTGTGTCTGCTAAAATAAATTACGCCAAATTTACGGCATGGCTTTAAGCAAGCAAAACGCCAAATTTTACACCCGCCAAGAAAACTTACTATACGGTATTATCTCTTGGCCCCTTTAAGGTCTCAGCTCCTTTAAGGAATGGAGAGGTACTCTGATTGAGACATTAACCTCTACATATAATCTCTACATATGTAGAAACCAAGGTCCAAGTGAAATTTAATGCATTTTCAACTAAAACTGAGCAGTTTTGATTTTTCAGAAATTCACAGGCCGAAAAAGGCCCCAGGTGAACCTTGTTCTTTTCCTGGAGATAAAATTTCTTTGTGATCTAAAATGGTTTCGTGGGAATTAAATTTCGTTGTGTCAAAAGTAAACATATTCAATTTATAGTTATATAAAATTTTGTTTGGGATTTAATTTTGTTGATAATTGTTAACAACGAAATAATTGAACTTTAATCCTCAAAAAATATTTCTGCTTTTACAGTAAGTGACAAAGAAAGAAAACACTGATGTAAGATGTAAAAAATAAAAGAAAAGAAAAGAAATAAATGAAGTTGGGTGCATCTATGGAGTGACACATATATGGAGACAGTTTGGAGACATCAAGGGACATGCAGTCCACTCAATTCCATGGGGTGTTATTATCTTATCCAGATAACACAATACCTAATTATACCTTCATTAACAAAACAAACATTCAGATCAGTCAGTTTAATTTCATTCAAAATAAATAAACATAATTTATACATAAATTACAGTGTGGCAGCCACATGAATGATACAATTTTCTAAGTAAGGAATTATGTATATATATTCTGTACTCAATATCTTTCATTCATTTTTTTTTTCATTTTAGGTTACTAAAGTACTTTAAATTGAAGTGAGGTAGATTTTCACATCATGCATCTTTTCAACGAAAAAACTGCAAAAGTTAACGCACACTACCATGTTTATCGTTTTCTTTTAAACCCACGTTTGTAATCACTTTTCCCTGGCTTTGCTGGTTTGTCCACCGGTTCCTTTGGTTTAGAGTGGAGGAAATTATGAAGCTGTTTAGCATAATGTTCACTACCCATGATCTCCGTTAGCTGTTCTAGGGAGCAGTCACACAAAGCAGACAGGCTTTCCACTTTATTCATGATGAGACGGTAGTTTTTCACATTTACTCCTGGCATCTTCAGCAAAAAATCCTGAACACAAAAAACTCAATGATAGAGTCAATCTACTTACATTTAAAATTTTTCCAATAAGGTTTAAACAGTTTTCTTACCTGTGGTCCATGGCTGTATTTATCTGACCATTGTAAGCCCTCATCAGATGATCCTATAGCTAAGGCAGTCCCTGCATCTGGCTGAGGCTTTCCTACCTATAATCAAAATAGAGGATCCATGATACAATAAATTACAAATCATTACCCATAACAAACAAGGATCCTTGATACTTACAACAAATTACAGATCATTATCCATAACAGACAAGGATCCTTGATACCTACAACAAATTACAGATCATTACCCATAATAAACAAGGATCCTTGATACATACAACAAATTACAGATCATCACCCATAATAACAAGGATCCTTGATACCTAAAACAAATTACAGATCATTACCCATAACAGACAAGGATCCATGATACCTACAACAAATTACAGATCATTATCCATAACAGACAAGGATCCTTGATACCTACAACAAATTACAGATCATCACCGATAACAGACAAGGATCCATGATACAAACAACAAATTACAGATCATTACCCATAAAAGACAAGGATCCATGATACCTACAACAAATTACAGATCATCACCCATAACAGACAAGGATCCATGATACATACAACAAATTACAGATCATTACCCATAATAGACAAACTCATAATGCAGATAAGCTAAAACATGTTGCTTATTACCATAAAAATAGACATTTGTAGCAGTACTTGCAAATCAGTTGGAAAAATGAGACTATCCTTTTCTTTGAGAGTCAAGGTGATATTGAGGTTGTGATGGCCAGTATATATAACACAAGTGACCTTTATGGTAAGATCCACAGGCCAAAAATCCTACTCATAGTTCTAGCATGGAAATACAATGTATTTTCTTCCCATACAAATAAGTGATTCTAAGGTAATGTATACATGTATAGAATAATACATACCCTTTTCCCTATTACATCCTGTATCAGTCCCAGACACCAATATCAGCTGGGGAGCCGAAGACCTGAGGGTTGATATTGGTCAAGAGCTGATACTGGATGTGATATGGGAACGAGTATGTTTTATTACCGGTCTGTTAATTACATACTTCTAAAATACAGCACACATCTACTTTAGGAAATACAAATAAATAATCACTGAATAGCTTATCAGAGAACAGTAATTTAAAAGAGAATGTGAAAAAAATAGGTGTATTATCATAAATACTGCTTTTTTGTAAGTATTAATCTCTTAGGGGTGTGATATAAATCTGTATACAAATACAATAAACAAAGAATAATTTTTTGTGGAGCAGACAAGTTACTGTAAATGTATTTTATTTCGTGTGTACGATATTTGGAGGAAATTCATTCTTCAACAAGTTAGTGTAAATTTGAGTCGGTTCATTCTGAATGTGCTACAATGTAAATATGTTAATTACACGACATTTGGCAATGTATTCGATTCCGTGGAAGCCATCAGAAGTTTTAAATAGAATAAACAGCCAAGTGTAATATGTTTACGGTAATTTACAGAATACAATTAATCCAAATCTGCTCATGTCAAAATTTTGATGATTTAATCTTAACCTATGGAAAAGAGTACATTTTAAGTAAAAAAAAATATATATATATATATGAAAAATGATGCTTCATTGTGTAAGATATATCAAAATTTTACCTTTAGTTCTTCGAACAGCTCAGCAGTAGCATATGGAGTTTGACACCAGAGAATGCGTAGCTTGGGGAAGTGAAGGGTCAGAAGAGCCAGTCGTGAGGTGACATCTTGTATGGACACTTCACTGGACTGCTTTACCTGTTTAATACAATTTACTTTGGTTTTTTTGTATGTCTACAAACTAACAACAAATGCTTTTAAAATCAATAAGTTATGTTATCCAATATTTTTTCTATTTCCATGTTACATTAATATGATACAGAGTATACTAGTAAATGATAAAGAGGATACTTTCATTTATATGTACATATATATATATATATATATATATATATATATATATATATATATATATATATATATATATATATATATATATATATATATACTTTCTGTACATGTATATAATGTATATATATAAACTCTCTGAAACATGCTTAATATTTTTTATAAATAAACTTACTGGTATAAAGTTTCATGTATTAATAATCTCTAGGAGTTTCTTTTTACTATGTTTGACTATACAGTACAGAAACTGTATGCCCACTTTTTCCCTTTTGCTAGCATCACAGTGTCCCACAATTGACTTTAGATCGACACATGATAAGGAAAATATTCCGATCTGATCATCCCAGATTCAATGTTCAATGTAATCCCAGGGACATAGATCTGGAGAAGTTACAAAGAATTTCTGGATGTTTACCATCAGAGAACAAGGAATACTGGAATTCATGAGTGGATGCAAATAAAAAGACAACTTGGTCACTTCTTTACCTCAAAAGCTGGTTCAGTGCCATGGCAAGAAAAGATAGTAATGTAATTCCCACAAAGCAGTGAGGGTACAAATACAAATGCACTAACATTGTAATAATGAGTAAATTATTTCTACATACTGCATTTTGTAATTAAAAATTAGAGTGTGTTAAAAATTTGCAGTAATGAATTTTCTTTTCGAAATTTTGATTAAAAATTCTTGCTATTTTTTCTTTAATTTAATAATAAAATAAAGCCTTTGTGGTCTAGTTCAAATACATCCAGCTCAACATAAGATGTATTGTATATCCATATGTGGTCTTATTGTGCCCTGTGTACAAACTACTTGATGAAAATTCATTTTTTTACATTTCCTTTGGTTGTGGTTTGGGTGTCATCTAAGGACCTTCTATATGCATCATACTTGCTTCGGTTGCATAGATGCTGACCAAATTCAGGGTCTTCTGCACACGAAATTAAAAATTCCATATTCTTATGGTCATCTGGTACAGGTATTTTGGGACAGTGTGAAGCAGCATTTTTGTAGCACAGAACTACAGTTACTGTAATAAAATTTTCAACAGCCTAGCTTGAATACCTTTATCATCTGCCTGAGGAGGAACAGAATGTTTAAATGTACATTGAAAATTAAACTTTATCTATGGACTGTGCTATATATATTTGGCATCACTAACAGTTTGAAAATAATGTATATACAAAACCACATACTATGTCATGCATCATTGATTAGCACTGAAAATCATAAATAAGAAACATGAATCAGTATCTCATTTTCTTTTGCTATTTTTCAGATGACAATGTTTAATGTAGTATTTACCCAACTACATAAAAACTGTATTCAAACTGTATTCTGTGCTTTGTAGAATAAGAATCAGATCATGTTGTGTTCAATTTATTCACTAGATTATTGTTTTAAGTTTATTAAGTAAGTACATATATATTGAAACTGATGCTTTATACATGAAAAGTCATATTCAACAAAATTGCTATCAGTACATAAGTATGATCCCAACTGCTTTTATTTTTGTGTAAATTTTTTGTCTACAAATTAATGTTTTACCCTTATTGTTAATTATTTGAACTTTCATTGGGATTTCACAAAGGAAATGATATAATGCATGAAAGTATAGACCCTCTCTAATAAGATGATAGTGTAATTATTCCAAGATATACAGATAGGCAGAGATGTTGTACAAAGTGATCCCATGTCTGCTATGCAACTGACAAAAAATTAGTTGTCATATCTTTAACCTCTATCTAATGACAGTAATCATTAAACTCTCATTCAAAATAAACTTCACCTGCAAGGAGAAGGATTTATTGGCATCAAACTCAATCAAAAGGACTGGTTTCTTGTAGTATCTACACATGGAAACACACTGGTTATACAGGCGGCCATTGTTCAGGGAACCAATCAGATCACTGACACTTTTCCTCTCAACACAAATATCAGGTGACAGTATGTAGTCTCCAACCTTAAACAAAATTCAGTGAATGTGTTAACAACTAGAACTGTCCAAAAGGGACAAATACCCCCCGCTGGGTTTTTCAGAGAAGGTACCAAATCACTAATGTTTTCTAGATGTGAGAGGTGTTCACAATTTGCTTAAACATTTAGAGTGAGAATTTAATTACTCATTATATTTTTTTTAATGAATGAAATTAAGGTGCAGCCTAATAAAACATCAATACTAATAATTACAGTGTTTTTTATTACATTGAAAAAATAGTTTGCAACTGTCTGTCATCTTTGTGAGACATGACACTCTGCAAATTGATTGTTGAAAAAAAATATCATAATTAATTATACAAAGTCAAATTGATCCTAATACCTTTATATTAGGGATGTCAACGAATAGTCGACTATTCGACCATCAGTCGAATGGACCGACGATCGAATAACGAAACAACATTCGAATAAATAAATTCAATAAAAGAGTGATAAAGAATTGGAATTCTCATCCTAAAATTGAGAAACCGTCTTCCCTCAGACACAGTCGATAAGATAATTTTCCTCATTAAAAACTGCTGACTTTACATGTAGAAAGTACAGTGATTAGAAACGCTTCACTTCCGCGTGAATTATTGTCAATTAATGTGTTGTTTTTATAATAAAATTATCTCGCCATACTGCGCTTTCTTTGTAAAACTATTAATTGGACTTGATCTCATACCATGTACCCATATTTGGACACTACGATAATTATTATAAAATTAATATTCTTTTACATATTTTAAAGACATTTTGATAATTGGTACAAAAAGTATATTCAAATATTTAACATTATCAAGGGCACCGTATGTGCCCCCATCATTTTAATAAGCTTTAAAAAAATATATCACACAGTCATTTTTTATGCCTCCTAAAAAAACGACTTTACAGACCAATTTATGAACATGATTGACGGTGAAATCCTACATTTTGGAGAAATTAGCTGTCTTTATTGGTAAATATAAATACACTATCCACATTTTAAGTCCATGTGAACATCTGTGTGTAACATTTGATGTAACTTTTTAATCAATTTAAAAAAGGGGGATTTGAGATTAAATATGTGATGTACCAGGTGAAGTTTGAAATAAAATTTTAGTTTCCGAAAAAGTTTCGAATATATTCGACTATCGTTCGAATAATGCAATCGAATATTCGACTAAAGAAAATAAATATTTTGACATCCCTACTTTATATCAAACTCATTTTAAAAATAAAAGGCTGGTTTCAGTAACTATGTATTTTGACAGACATAAATTACAATTAAGAGGCTTAGACAACAGAGATCTTTATTTCTTTCTGCCCAATTCCCAGGAGATATAGATAAGACCTGCTTGATCAGAGATGCCCTAACAGCTTCCCACACTGAACTCATTAATTAATCTTTAACTGGATGCATGTCCACTCATTACTCCAAAGGGACAAATAGATTTACACTATATGCTGTGTAATGTGAAAACTGTTTTTAATATTTTGTGATTTTTTTTCAGTTCTCATGAGTAGTTTTAAGCTGTAGTTCACATTTTTGTACAGATGTTCTAGATTCTATGTCTCAAACCTTAGACATGAACCCGAAATGACTAAGTCAATAAAAATGACAAAAAAAACACCTGTAAAATGCAGAAAAATTATCAAATAATGTTGAAAATACCAGGTGCACATCTTCATATGGTAAATAATAAGTGTACAAATTTTCATACAAATCTATGCAATAGTCTCTGGGAACAGATCGGGACAAAACCACATATTAAAAATGAAAAAACACCTGTAAAATGCAAAAAAATTATCCAATCATAATGAAAATACCAGGTGCACACCTTCATATGGCGAATAATAAGTGTACAAATTTTCAGACAAATCCTTGCAAGAGTTTCCAAGAAATGGTCCGGACAAAATCTCGTCTACAGACAGACGGACAGACAGACAGACGGACAGACAGACGGACATGCTGATTCCAATATACCCCCCCTAAACTTCGTTTGCGGGGGGTATAAAAATATATATACATGTACATATTGTAATCTAATAAATCTAAAAAAAAAAAAAGTTAACGTAAACTTATTTTAGGCATTTTGCAAACACAACAATGATTCTGTTCAAAATTCATAAAAAGCAGATCATTTCAATGGCTATCATACCTCCAATGTCACTGGTTCTATGTCAATACCTCGTCTGTGAATCAAAGATGGTAACTCACTTCCAAACTCTCGCATGTCTACAACCACCTGATTAGAAAATAAAACAGAAGAATATTAGCTGTGAAGAGTCGCAGAAATATATATACAGAATTAAAGTCAGTCAAAGTTGCAAAGATAATCAATAAAATTCAAAGTTCTAAATGTTAATTTAAAAGAGCCTTCCTAATTAAAATTAAGTACATTCGACAATTTGATACCTTTTCCTGTGTAGAGACCTGGGGTGCCCCTCCTTTTCTAGTGTTCACTGTAGCATTAGCAGGAGTTGTGTCCCTTGACAAATTTGGATCATCTTCTAGTTTTCCTTCTCTTTCCTCTGGAATCACCATGTTCTGAAAACATTATTTAAACTGTAAATCTGTGCATTTAAGAGTCAAATTTTTTTATTCAATTGAAAAGTGTACATTGAAGACAAATTTGGTCTTTAATGGTGATATTCACTAACAGCCTTCTCTCGGATAAGGAACTCAAATGCCTCTTTCTCCATCCTGAGTGTGGTTAAGTATCGCTGCTCCTCCACTGAGCCTGTATACATCATGAAGTACACTCTCAGTGGAATCCCTGGATGACTGGCTCGATAGACCTGTCATAATTTCATTTAGTAATTCAAAAGAATTCTACAATATAAAGTGTTCAATTGCTTGATGCTTAATAATTAATCAGATCAAGGGAGTAATGAAAATCAACTTCTTTTTTTTACATTTAAAGATGTGTATTAAAAGCCAAATTTTTTCAAATGATCATGGAAATACATGTATAATAGCCTGCAGAAAGCATTTTTACTACTTAAGGGGATCTGAGCTTGAATTCTCATACAAATACCATAATTCTTCCTGCCAAAATACTCATTCAGACAAACTCATCAATATCAGCATTTTCCCTCTCAAAATTGAATGTGTATTTACTTTCATATGACTGATGTATCTCTTCCACATGAACTTATGGTTCTATTATTCAATTTTTTGGCCAAAAAAATTTTTTAAGCATATAAAACACCTTTCTTTAAAATTCTTAAATTAAAATATCTAGATTTGGCAATAGTTCACAAACAAAAATGTTAACAGGGCAATTCTACCATTTCCAAGTTGTCTAACCTCTAGTTCCCTAACAAACTGCATGTCTGCATCATACAGAACCACGTATCTAGGCTGTACTTCCTGCAGAGTCTTTGTCAGACCATTAGGATCTGTGCCACCATGGAGGGGGTGAAGAATGGTGACTGGTTCCTCTACAAAGCCATAGTAGGCATCAGTCGAGGCTATAGATGGTCCCATCTCATTAGAAATCCCATTCTGTGATTTGATTGATGTTTTCAATTAAACATTGTCTTTGAAAATAATCTTGCTATACTAAGCTTATACTATATATAGAGATACATTGCCGGGTCCAGCAAATGCTCTACTAAGCCCTTATCTTTACTCCTTACAAAAATATTAACTGCTGTGAGAAGAAACTTCAGACGTGCTGTGCTATAGCATATTCTAGAAGTGGTTCAAATCAGATGTGGATTCTAAAAAACTCCAAGGAATTTTTAGAGAATTCAAAATCACCAAATTTTTCAAATGTCAGTAACATCAAAATGTAAAAATTTTCTTCACTTTATGCAACCATTCCTCACAGTAAATTAAAAACTAGCCTTTTAGATATCATAGTCTACTGCTTCCTCAATAAAAAATTTAAGTTGGAAATTTTCATGTCTTGTGATTGGTCATCAACAAAATTACTTTGTAAAAAATATGAGTATCTCCCAGTTCTTTGCCAACCCTGTTCATAAACCTTACTACAGTGACATCCATATAAAATATCTGAGGCACACAAATTTTAAGAATTGCTGTATCAATCATTGTTTAAGGATCCTGTTGATTCAGCTATACCACGGTCTTTATAAGTCTTCTAACAAGGTGTAAATCAATCCAAAATGCAGTTTTTACCTCTGTGCTTGTCCCTCCCACCATCTGGGTGAGTGTCTGCTCAACTGTCTTTGTCTTCTGTCCCTTATTTGATCTGATCTTGGCCATTTTTTCTTGCCTGATTTTCTTCTGTAAAACACAAACATATGACAGACAAACTGAATCAACAAAGTGCTGTCTTCTTTCAAAGATATATTTTGCAATTGTCTGTATAAAATGCTCTGTGTTTCACATAAAATAATGTAATATTCATTATATAAAAGTACTGACAGCTTCGTCCTCCAGATTCTGTCCTTTCTGAGCCAGATATTTGTTAAACAGTCTGATCATCATACTCCTTGCCCCATCACACAGCATCTGGAGTTACAAGTACAATCAACATGCCAAAATAGTCAGTAAGCCTTGATGTCCATTTAACAAATCTAAAGCTAGTTAAAAAAGGACTTTGTTGAAGACTGTAAATACTGTTACAATGTAGACAATTCTCTTTTTAACCTGTTTACTTTTGAAATGACAAAATGTTGATACCACTATGGTAAGGCAAAACTTAGTTAACAAACATGTATATATAAGCTCACATGAAAGCACTGTGTAATCACTAATCTGTGTATGTGAATGGTGTGTGTGTGTGTGGGGGGGGGGGGGGGGGTGGTAATTTTTTGTTTTGTTTTTTGTTTTGCTACGAAGAGTTCAGAATTCCCATCCTCAAACTTTTTTTTAAAAATCTAGCTTTTAACAACTCTATATACATGTACTTCTTCAACCATGAAATCAAATCTCCACAAACAAATTTTTTTTACTCAAACCATGAAAATTTACTACATAAAAATAAGTGATTTTACAGTATCTAAAACGTCTGTATACCTCTTTGAGTTGGTTACATGTCCTGTCATCCTCAGCTGCTATAAGCACAGCTCCAGGTTCTTCTTCTGGACCCAGGTTTTTGTTTTCTTTCCTGATTTCTTTTAAGATGTCTCTTAGTGCCTCCCACTTAGGACATTCCTCTAACAAGGGTTCTGTCAATGAGAAATTATCTGTCAGAGGCAAGGATGAACATTTGTTTAACATGAAAATGTTGAAAGTGGAAAATTCATACTTCTAGTTTTTTTTTTAATTTAATTAATTGGACGAAAAAAAATATTGATGGTGAATAAAGATACAACGTCTGAATATTTTATTCTTCTAGTTTGCTAGCTACCTTTATCTTCTTTTTTTTCTTTGTCATTAATCTGTGTTTTTTCTTGACCATATACTCTTTCCTTGGCATGCTAAAATTGAAAACACACACGAACTAGAAATGTCCAAATTGGACCCCCCTCCCCCCCCCCCCCCCCCACCCAAAGTGCAATCAAAACATTTGATGATTTTACAAGAAAGAAGGTTATTTTATCCCCCCCCCCCCCCCAAAAAAAACAACTGATTATCATTCCATACAACTTTGACCGTCTGCAAGTGTAATCAGTTTAAAAGATCATGACATATTCTCCGTGTTTTCTAACTGAATGTGTCATTTATGATCTTGAGCTTCATTAATCTTTACATAATATAGCTATGACCAATGAAAAAGTTTGCTTACATGTACTTAAATCCTGTGACCTTGACCAAACACCCTTGGGTCAGGGTTGACCCTATGGTTATGAAAAACTTTTGTGTCAAGACTTTGACATTGTCTAAAATTTTACACTTCTGAACCCTGTGACCTTGAATTTGTTTAATGACCTTATTTTTTAGGGTCATGAATCACCCTCTGATCTCTTATGTTTAAAAAAAAAAAGAAAAGAAAGAGGAACACCCTATTTTTCAGGTTTTGTGGTCATTGAATGTTTTTATGTATTCATGTATTCCCTTTAGAATGCCAAAAATATGCCACTATTATTTTTACTAGTTGCTGCAGATCATGAGTTGTATGTACATGCTGATGATTTACATTATATGAACCAACATACATTTTGTTCTTCTGTCATTTATTTACTTAATGCATGACCATTCTTACCCTTTTTTTACTTTCATAAAGCTATGAACAAAATTTAATATCCTTTGATCAAAACAATTTTTGTGCCATGTATAAGCTTTTGATGTACATGTATCAGTGGGATGTGCTGTCAGACAGACAGATATTCCTATTTAAAACCCCTCCTCCAAATAAAATGATTGTCTAAATGTTTAAACAATTTTTGTACAATTATATACTGCAAATCTTATCATGCCACCCCCCCCCCCCCCCCCAAAAAAAAGACTCTTACAGGTTTTATGTTACTTTTAAGAGAACTTTAAATGGACTATATACAAATAAAAACTTACAACAAATAAGCTGTCTGCAGCATCCAAAAACAACCAGCCTGTATTCTGACCAAATGCTTTCTCGCTCATCCTAAAATTTCGTTAATATTCTTAATGTATAAGCAAATACATGTATTCTTTGAGTTTTATAATCTTTTTTCTCAAATATTTTCACACTTTCATAAAAAGTAACATTTAACTTACTTGACTGAATTTACCATACTAAAAAATGTGATGCAGTCATATTGTGTCATCTGTCTACAAAATCAATGTAATGTTGATTATTATGATGTAATACCAGACTGTACAGACAGGTACAGGAATTCAGTGTAGAATTTACCTGAGAATGAGTCTGAGAGTTTTAATATCAGTCACCAGCTGTCGAGTTTTGGAGCTTAGCTGATGCCAAACTGGATCCAACTGAAATCGGATTGTTTTTTCAAAAGCTTTCCCAATTGCAGTTTCTACTGTAACCTCTTCTGCATCAATCTATAAAAAGAAACACATTTTCACTTCAAACAACATATGATCATCCTGTTTGAAGGATGTGCATTCAATTCTTGAATTCAAATAATTCACAAAGATATAAGGGAGTAAGAATAAGAATAAGAATAAGAAGCTATTATCATTTTGTTGACCGACAAGAAAAAAGAGATAACAACTGCTTAAAAACAAGATGTGTTGTGAAACACTATGCCCCCGTATGGCAGCTTATGTCGAAGGTTAAAGTTTCTCAAATGCAAGTCAAAATCCAGGCCAAAAGATAAAAAATGTTGATACCCAAAGAAAGATCTTGTCTCGAGGAAAACACCTGTGGAATTTGAAAGACCTAGATACAACTGTTCAAAAGTTATGGTGAAGGTTAAAGTTTTTTAAATAAAAGTCAAACGTCAAGGTCAAGGTCAAAGTGGTTGGTATCCAAAGGAAGATCTCGTCACAAGGATTACATATGTGAAGTATGAAAGCCCTAGCACCAACTATTCAAAAGTTATGGCCAAGGTTAAAGTTTTTCAAAAGTAGGTCAAACTCCTAGTTCAAGGTCAAAGGGTCAAAGTGGTTGGTATCCAAAGGAAGGTCTTGTCACAAGGATTACATATGTGAAGTATGAAAGCCCTAGCTCCAACCATTCAAAAGTTATGGCCAAGGTTAAAGTTTTTCAAAAGTAGGTCAAACTCCTAGGTCAAGGTCAAAAGGTCAAAGTGGTTGATATCCAGAGGAAGGTCTTGTCACAAGGAATACACATGTGAAGTTTGAAACCCTAAGCACCAACTGTTCAAAAGTTTTTTGCCAAGGTTAAAGTTTTTCAAAAGTAGGTCAAAGTCCAAGGTCAAGGTCAAAAGGTCAAAGTGGTTGGTATCCAAAAGAAGGCCTCGTCACAAAGAATACACATGTGAAGTTTGAAACCCCAAGCTCCAACTGTTCAGAAGTTATGGCCAAGGTTAAAGTCTCATAAAATTTTGCAAAAGTGGGTCAAACTCCAAGGTCAAGGTCAAAAGGTCAAATATGATGGTACCCGAAGAAAGGTCTTGTCACAAGGAATACACATGTGAAATATGAAAGTCATAGCTCCAACCAATCAAAAGTTATGGGCAAGGTTAAAGTTGACAACAGACAGACAGACAAACAGACAAACAAACAGACAAACAGACAGACAGGACAAAAACAATATACCCCCGGGATCTTTTGATCCGGGGGCATAAAAACACACTGCCTGACACATTGAATTTTCAAATTTTGGGTCTGAGAAACTATAGATTATTTTTCATGGCCTAAAATAACTCTCTTTAAAAGAGAGACTGTGGTCCTTAATATGAAAAAAAAACACCAAAAAAAAAAACAAAACAAATGAATTGCCTTCACAAATGGATGCTTACATCCAAAATATATATACTGCTAATGATTACAGATCAAGTAATAATTGACAAACTTTGATAAGAAAAGCTCAGAGGGGGGTCTAGCTTCCTGTATAGGTATGTCTTACAGCTGTGGTGCAGCGCTTTAGTTCTTGTATACAGGCATTAATCAGATCCAACAGAGCTGTTTGGCAGGCCAGGGTAGCTGATGTTAATTGAACCTGGATTTCTACAACATCAACCTATAAAACAAGTAGAAAGTCAAACAATAACTAAAACTGGATGTCTACAACATCAACCTACTATAAACAAGTAAAAAGTCAAATAATAACTGAATCTGGATGTCTACAACATCATTCTATGAACAAGTAAAAAGTCAAACAATAACTGAACCTGGATGTCTACAACATCTACTTATAAACAAGTAGAAGTCAAACAATAACTGAACCTGGATGTCTACAAATAAGTACAAGTTGGAGAATTAAAAGAATACTTTATCATCTCATAACTATGTCTGGGCTAAATTAAAATGGGATTTAATTGTTTGCAAGTGTGAAAGGGCAAAAATAACAAGGGGCTAAAATAACCATATTTATTACATTTTCCACAGTAAAATACTGTAATTTATTTATTGAATAAAAGTGATGGATATTTTGTCAGTTAGAAAGAATATCAAAGTGATATTTTTTCACAGTGTGAAAGAATATCAGAAGTGCAGCGAAACTCTTGATTTTCTTTCCCTTCATGAACAGTGTTGTAAAAAATTCTCCCTGGGGAGACTAAAATTGCCAAAGTTTCTCCAAACGTGTTGTTGAAATCCATGTTTACAATGTTTTGAATCTCACTATCACTAAGCTATGATATCTCAACCGCTAAACTATGACTCAAAGCCTATGACACTGTGTTACAAAAAGACCGAGGCTGAGGAAAAATCAAAGGATTGCAAGCTTTGCATTATAAAACAAGAGGCCCAAGGGCCTTAACGGTCACCTGAGTATAAACAACAATCCATAGAAGATCCATAAGAGTATAAAATAAACTGATAGAAGAAGCTTTTGTAAATCTTTGATCATCCATTGTGGCCCCACCCTATCCCCAGTGTCATGATTTGAACAAACTTGAATCTCTACTACCTAAGGATGTTTCCATGTAAATATATCCAATCATGGCTTTGCTGTTCTTGAGAAAAGAATTTTTTCAAGATTTTCCCTACGTATTCCAATGTAAAATTTTCATTGTCCATTGTGGCCCCACCCTACACCTGGGGATCATGATTTTAACAAACTTGAATCTACACTACCTGAGGATGTTTCCACATAAGTTTCATCTTTCTTGGCCCAGTGGTTCTGGAGAAGAAGATTTTTAAAGATTTTTTCTGTGTATTTCTATATACCGGTAAAACTTTGATAGTCCATTGTGGCCCGACCCTACCCCTGGGGGTTATGATTTTAACAAACTTGAGTCTACACTACCTGAGGATGTTTCCATACAAGTTTCATCTTACCTGGTCCAGTGGTTCTTTTAATTTTATTTCTTTAACAAGCTCTAGCTCATTTCACTTATGTCCATCAATCAATTAACCATTGTCTAAACTATAGCTTTATCTTTGCCAATAATTTACAAATTCATATACCTTGTGCTGCTCTAGATTTGCTACAACACTGGCGTGAAAACGAGGCCACAGATAAAGGTTCCTGACAAACAAGTTCTTCATTGTCCTCTCTACATGAGAGTAACCTGTGGTGAAGGCATAGGGGCTGTCAGAGAAAGCTTTGATAAAACCAGTCTGAAATGACACAAATATCAACAAATAGTAACACTCATTAAAGTAGCTCAAAAACATCAAAACTACTTACTTAAGACCATTAATGTATATCTTGTAATTTCATAGTGTCCAAAACTACATCACAATGTTGACACATCAAAGAAGTTCAGTAAATTCAAATAGCATCTTCTAAATAACTTGTCTGCAACACACATTTTTTCTGGCAAATTATGATGATTGGGAAGCAAGATTATTCAATTAAAAAAATGCAATTACCTGTAATGAGTTGCTAAGTGGGGGCAATGACTTGACCAAACTTGAATTTACACTACAAGGGTCTGCTGGCATATCAATATGTCTGAGTTCTGCCAGTTTTTCATCAGATTTTTGAAGATTTTTATCAATATATTCCTTTGTCCAGCTTTATTCACCAATTATGACTCTATCTCAGCCACAGAAACATACTTGTATCTTCACTACAAGGTGTCTTTTGTGATGATTATTAATATGACTAGATTTGGCCATGTTATTCTTGAGAAAAACATTTTTAAAGAATCTCCCATATATTATCATGTACCGTTAAAACTGTCCCCTGTTGTGACTCAAGCCTGACCCCAGTAGCCATGATTTGAATTACATTAAATCTTTACTACTGGTACATGGGAATGTTTGTTTATGATAAGTCTTATTGTAGCCCTTAATTCTGTTCTTGAGAAGAGGATTTTTGGTCTACAATCTGTGTAAAACTTTGTTCCTCTTCTGACAAAGCAGAGGGTCCAGTATTCAACCCATGCATATAGAATTTTAATGTCAACTTCTTCAGAGATATGTACTGTAGATCATCAAATTTTCACGACACCTTATTTTCGAGAGATACTGTAGATTCCTTATTTTACGTGAGTACTTAATATCGCGAAATGGCCCAAGGGCGTCAAATCGCGAGAACAAAAATTCGCGAATGGATGATTTATCTAGAGATTTTACATACATTAAAGCACCATAAAAATAAAAGCGAGTAATTTTATTTTGTGAGTGGTGCTTCTCGCGTAATTACGCAATAATTTATTCCTCGCGTATATTTAGGAATCTACAGTAGTCATTTGCTATTTATAAGCAAGACAAAATTTTCATAAATTTTGACTTCGTTTATATATAACCTTTTATAAGAAAAATATACGTGAGAATTAAATTTCTGTGGGCATACAACCTCCCGTAATTACATGAAAATAAAGTTCTTGTGAATAAAATGTGATTTACAGTAATATCACATTCTTTTTTTTCCCATGTTGCAAAACAAACATGATACAATGACTTATATGCATACCTTATTCTTCTGTCTGTATAACCTCAGTATAAATGCCTCCTGACAAGATTCTACAATTCTAAATTTAAAACAAGATGTGTTTGTGAAACACCAATGCCCCTCTTTGGTAGCTCATGGCCAAGGTTAAATTTTTCAAAAGTAGGTTAAACTCTGTGGTCAAGGTCATGAGGTCATATTGGTACCCAATGAAAGGTCTTGTCACAAAAAAAAACACACTCAAAATACCAAAGATCTAGCACCAACTGTTCAGAAGTTATGATCAAAGTTAAAAGTTTTTACATGTATGTCAAATGCCAAGGTTAAGGTCATGAAGTCAAAAATGTTGGCACCAAATGACAGGCCTTGTCACAAGAAATAAACATGTGAAATATGAAAGCCCTAACATCAACCATTCAGAATTTGTAGCTGAGATTGAAATTTTTCAAAAGTAGGTAAAACTCCAAGGTCAAGATCAAGAGGTCAAAAATGTTGATACACAAAGAAAGGATTTTGTCACAAAAATACACATGTGAAATGTGAAATATGAAAGCACTAGCTCCAACTGTTCAGAATTTTTTGGCCAAGATTAAATTTTTTTCAATAATAGGTCAAACTCAAGGTCAAGGTCATGAGGTCAAAAATGTTTGTACCCAAAGAAAGGCCTTGTCAAAAGGAATACACAGGTGAAATATGACAGTCTGGCACCAATGTATGTATCAAAAGTTATGGGAAAGGTTATAAAAGTTTTTTTTGTGAACAAACAGACAGACCAAAAACTATAAGCCCCTGAATCTCCGATTACGGGGGCATAAAAATATATATTTACAAGGAGTGGTACAATATTTAAAAGACTCTGATCATTTATATTTCTGATTCACTCAAGCTTTAAAACTTTTATAGATCCAATTCTTGGTATAGTTGATTAAAAGTCATTTAGATTCTTCTGGTCAGGAAATGATAAATCTGTCCCATACTGCTGCATAACCAGGGCAAAACTATCCAATGTATGTTATCTCCTTAATTTCATACATGTGCATTTCTTCCTCCATACACAAAAAAACATGGGTTCAAATTAGAAAAAATACTTTTTCAAGCCTATACTAAAGTGCAAAAAATTCCCTATACCTGTGGGCTTTGTACACAAGAATGCCAGAGATGTGCTCAACTGGGACTCGTTCTGTTAGAAAATCCACAACCAGAATCCTTGAAGTCAGAAATAGAACTCCTCCCTGGAGATAAACCTTCTGTCTGCGATGAGAAAATGCAAGGTAAAACTAATACGTTAAGAGCAAGTGGGTAGTTTCTAGTCTAAATAACAGAATTCTGAAGCACATAGTAGATCATCTTAACAATATCAGGGGTCCTGAATCAACATGTTACCATTGGAGCCCTGACAAATTTCATTCGATATCTTGTGGGCTGATTGAAGCAACGTCTCTCGGGAAAATTACAAATCTTGAATGTTTTTCTTATCTTCAACCAATCACATTAAGCCTTTTGGTGATAAACAATGCGTAACACGTGCATGTTATGAGTCAACTGATTCCTCTCTGTTTACATTATCTGCCTACTTCAATTTGATTGGTGTTTCCAAATGAGAGAAGCAAGCTCGAAGATACTGAATGAAATTTGTCAGGAGTCCAACAGCAACGTTTTGACTCAGGACCCCTGGCTTTGTGAAGATGAATGTAGAAACTTAACCTTCCTAATATTAATGTTTGTGTGTGTATTGTAAGTCATCAAATATGACAAGTGGAGGAAAATCAATAAAAATTTCAAATGTGGGAGGAAATATAATTTAAAAAAAAAAACACATGAGAAAAATATATTTCCATTATTTTAGTCTTTTAAAAAGAGTAATAAATCCTAGATTTTACTAGTACTTATGTCCATATGAAATCAGTTTTGAGACGAATTTATCCTAGTTAGAAATTCATAAACAGGTCTCCTAAAATATAAAACTAAAATAAGTAACACTATTGGTATGTAGCACCATTATTATAGATTTACATCCACTGAATGTTTTTACCCTTATTTTTTCTGGAAACTGATTGTCACTACTCTAAACTACAGTATGCAGGGAAATTTTTGATAACATTTTATTTTCGCACTTGTTGTCTGTGGCCGAAATTCAAAATAAAGCACATTCAGCAGAGATAATTACATCTCTTTTCACACAACTATCTCTGAACAAATTTTAAACTGGGGGAAATTATTTGCAATTGTGATAGGTCGAATATTGGGTTAAATACCGGTAATCTTGTATACAGAAATTAAATCTGTTTTTTAAAGCCATCTATATGGAAGATTTCTTAAAGAGTGGGCTTTAGCTGCCATCAATGTAATGTAATCAATGATACAAACTTTCATCCACTATTTACGAATAATTAATACAGATAAAAACAATGAAATATCTTTGTTTGTTAATACAGGGAACAATGACTGCAACCATTGGTCAGGAAAAAATTAACATAACCTGCTTACTTGAGTTATATATATTTTTTTCTTCAATGTTGCTACTGTGAATCCTTTTATCAACAAACAGAGAAAGCATTTTATTGTTTAATTTAAATGCATTCTTTTAGAACACGAAAGTTAGGAAACCTCTGTTAGATCCACTATATACCAGTAACTTCATATTCCATATATAAAGCAAGGGAAGCTAGGAAGCACCTACATTCCAGGTAAGCAAGGGTGAAAGCTAGGAAGCACCTACATTTCAGGTAAGCAAGGATGAAAGCTAGGAAGCACCTACATTTCAGATAAGCAAGGGTGAAAGTAGGATGTATCTATATTCTAGAAAAGCAAGGGTGAAAGATAGGATGCACCTATATTCCAGATATGCAAGGGCGAAAGCTAAGACTCATTTTTGCCTTTTTTCATTGCATAATTTTCCCCTATGATACGGAAAAGTTAAAAAAAAAAACCATACAATTCCATCTGCTCTGTCAGAAATCTTCAGACATCATGTAAATAATTGGGTGCTCTTTTTTACATTTACCAAATTCATTTATTATCAATATTGTACACATTGTACTCAAGGGATACAATTACTTGCCAGATAACAATATCATTTTTTCATGCTTGTCATGTCTACTGAAATAAGAACATGTTTTCCACTCTAAATTTTTCCTGCAAATCCAAACCTTTCATTGGCTCCAACTTCATTAGTAATATTTCTTGGTAAAGGTTTTATGCTTTCCTTCTCCAGCTGTTCTGTAAAGTATTCCTATAAATAAAATTTTTGGTTTATACTTGTTCAACTATACCACAACTAACTTCAAATGAAATATAATCCCTCTTACTTCCTCTCTGGCATTTGTATTCAAGACAAGGACAAGATTGGCAGGATCACAGTAAACCTTCAGAAAGTTCAGGAAAATTCTGTCTATTCCAAGTCCTCTGTGGATGAAAGTATATGCAGATGTAACTGTTAAATACATGTGACTTTTAGCAGATGACAGAATGAACTTTTGTCAGATTGGGCACAATACCCTTATCTAAAAAAAAAAAAATAGAAATATGTCCATTGGACACAAATGCCCCACATATATATTAGTAATGCATCATGAACATTTGTATTAGTGTATAAAGTTTGATGGAAATATCTTGAATAGATTCTTTAAAATTGAAATAGAAATCTAAAAAATTGGATATAGATGATGAATTCTCTCCAAATTATGTATAGGTGCATAAGTTTAAGCTTACATAAAAATATCTTAAATGGTTTCTTTAAAACTTAGCAAAATTTGAAGTCTAAAAAATTGGATATAGATGATAAATTCTCACCAAATTATGTTTAAGTACATAAGATAACACAAAAATATCTTAAGTGGTTTCTTTAAAACTAAGCTAAATGCAAATTAAAGAAAAGTGAGGTCAATGTCACAGGAAAGTGCAAGGTTAAAAGTTTTTGATGCAGTTGAATAGCTCTCACTAATATATAACAGCATATTATGTTTGATAAAAATATCTTGAATGGTTTATTTAAAACTGAGCTAAATTTTAATTTTAAAAAAAGAAAGGGCAAGGTTAATGGAAAGGTCAACATCAAAAATGTTGAGGCAATTGCAAAGCTTACATCAGTGTGTATCAGCATATGAAGTTTGATTAACAATATCCTGAATGGTTTATTAAAAACTGAACTAAACACTAATTTAAGAAAAGTGAGGCCAAGGTCAAAGGAAAGGTCAAGGTCAAAAAATTGTGAAGCAGTTGAATAGCTTACATCAGTATGTATCAGCATATGAAGTTTGATTACACTATTTTGAATGATATTTCTTTAAAATTGAACTAAACACTAATTAAAGAAAAATGAGGTCAAGTCAAAGGAAAGGTCAAGATCAAAAAATGTTGATGCAGTTGAATAGCTTACATCAGTGTGTATCAGCATGTGAAGTTTGATTATATTATCTTGAATGTTTCTTTAAAACTTAGCTAAACACTAATTAACGAAAAGTGAGGTCAAGGTCAAAGGAAAGGTCAAGGTCAAAAAATGTTGAAGCAGTTGAATAGATTACATCAGTATGTATCAGCATATGAAGTTTGATTACACTATCTTGAATGTGAAACTGAACTTTGAATTGAGCTAAACGCAAAGCGCGACGGAAAGACAGGAAGAAGGACAGAAGGATGGAAAGACAGAAGGATGGAAGATGGACATGAAAAACTCTATATGCCACGGCCATATTTATGGCAGGGCATAGAAAAACCCCTCCACTGTTGGATTAAAAGTTTCCTCTACTGCTAAAAAATACAGTAAAATATGCTTATAACGAAGTGCCAGGATGAATTTGCTTTGTTATAATTCGTTATATCTATTAAGTTCACAATATATTCTAAAACCACGGGGAATGAAAATCACATTATTGTACGCGTCAATACATTATAAGTATGTTCCCTATAAGCCTGTTTTACTGTATACATAATTTTAGCATCTGACAAAAATAACTGTATTATGAAAAAAGAGAAGAAAAAAGGGAGACATTTTCAGCATTCAAGATAAATATTTCATTATGAAACTTTACAAGAAAAAAAAAAAATACATTTAGTTGTTTATATTCAGGGTTCTAGTTGCATTAATTTTTTTAATTTTCAGTAAAAGAAGTAATTATTAGGTAAGTGTTTAAATATTGGAAAAAAAATTCCAATAATCATTTGGACATTTACCTTTGGTAAAATATTTATTTTTCTGGCCAACAATGGTTCACAAAATGTTTATAAAAGTGAATATAGAAGATTTAGAAAATTCAAACTATGTGGATTTTTTTCCACTGGGTGGTGTGGATTGTTTAATTTCTATTTCTTATAATCTTTTTTTTTCTTCAATAAAAATGGAATATTATAACATCCCGAAAAATGTAATTTAAAGATAATCCTTAACCCACTGTATACCAAAGATAATATTTAGGCCTGCATACATATTCGTTATACTTTGTTGATTTTTTTTTATCTGTATCCACAGTTACAACATGATAAAGGAATCTTTCATAATTTTCAAACAAAATTCATGATGTCTCTGTTAATTGATCATATCTCATTTATTTTACTCCATTTTTTTTATTATTATTTTAATTCAGGTAGGGAGGGGGGTTCAATTGTTCCCATTGAGTTTCTGTGTACCCAAGCAACAAATCAAGCGGCACATAAAAGAGCTTGACACACGGTCAGGGCTGTGTTCAACAGCGTAGTCACTAACCTATCAGGTAGTAAATATCTATCTCTATTGAATGGACAGCTGGCCTAGCTGCTAAGTGTTAGATTTTGATACACCAATTTTTTACTGAATAAATATACATAATTTTCGGACCTTGCCTGGCCTAATTAGTCATCACTTTGAAGTTTCAAAATGTGTAGCAGCTATGAAACCTTTGAATTTCACACAGAATCCAGATGAGCCCAGACATATCCTTTTAGCTTGACGTGTTCCATGTATTGCTGCCTCTGGTCCTCAAAGCTACAATCTTGAACGTTAAGCTAGCCTAGCCACTATGTAGGGAGAGTAAGCATAAATATTTGATGCTAAGTACCAAATCCAAGATGGCCTCCTTACTTACAATTTCGCAGCAAACAACATTGTGTGTGTATGTGTGTGTGTGATTTACACCTAACATAAAATTAACTGATCAATACATATAATTCCCTAATTATTTAACTTTGAGTGTGAACATATAATCCATAATTATTTCAATACATACTTTGCCATGACAAGGAGACCGTCTTCATGGAAACCATCCAAGAAAATCTGATTCTCGTACTCTAAAAGTCTCCTCATTTTGGCTCTTTAAATGAGGGCTCTAGATTTACACGTTGTCATCTATTTCCAGCAACTTTCCAGGATAATTCTGTTTCCATGGCTACATTCGCATGTGGAGAACTCATAGAAAAATCTTCATTATGCCTATACACTGAAAAGTTGCTAACAATAGTCAATTCAATTTTCACTTTCAGTCATGGGCGCCGCCATTTTTCTGGTAAGTATAATGTCCCTGTTAATCTTGTGAACCACATCTCTCAAAAGATAGGTTAAACGTCAAAACCCTTGCTTTTTAGTAATTCATGTTGTTTTAATAAATTTATGGACACGATTTACTTTTGTATTTTCTATCATAAATTAGATATTCCACACAGTAAATTTTAGATATCACTCAAAAGCAAGATAACTCTTCAATAACTTTTTTTCCTATAAATATTTATGACAGAGTTACATCTCTTTGTATAGGAAATACCCCCCCCCCCCCCCCCCCGCTTTTTACACAGGACAATGAAGATTTGGTCTTGCTCTGTCCCTTTTCAATTCAAACAATATCCACAATATTACAAAGGGAACGAATTTAATTTCGTGTGAAAGATTTTTTTTTTTAAATCTCAAGCATATGTCCTATAGCAGCCACCGTACAAAGGTATATATTTAGTCGTAATTGCTTTTTTTCTTGATTTAATTAAAGATGCGGTTAAAAATTACATATATGGCAAGAATTTAGTGCTGACTTTCACCTATGTTCAATTGTAACCAGTAACACAGGTTACATAGCCTTTTCACTGGGGAGCATTTATTCAGTTTTTAATATATTCGATCAGTGCATATTATCTATTCAAGATATATTACTAAAGTCAGGTACTCTTCACACAATTGCTCCGAAGAAAATAGTTCCATTGATGATCAGTAGATACAACATTACACCAAATGTGAAGAATAATGATGTATATTTAATACGTTGAAGAAAACAAAATTAACGTAAAAGTTTTTAAGAAAATCACTTTTTCCCCAGAAAAGCAAATAAAAAGTTTTCATATTCCTACGCTCGCTGCCTCCTCAGTCTTTTTCACGAAAATATATAGGTCATACTTCGATTGATAATGATAAATCTTTTCACCAATTATATTACTGTCATGATTATTGTTCGTTAATTGCCGTATATTTCTTTTGAGTGAGAATGTTAATCATTAACTGTGGGTTTTTTTCTTTCTTTTTTTTAAATAACGGAATGGTTATTTTGGTTAAACACCTGCAATCGTATTAACTTCTCTGCACAGTAACGTGATTTTCCGGACTTCGTCGGTAAGGATCTTCGCACTTGTGTAGACCTAGGCTATTTGGTCTTGCAAGCACAGTTGTGTACACCGTTCGCTTGTGACGCTAAGATCATGTAGACTGGTATCAGAATTTTCTACAGACATGAAGAAGTTTAGAACTATACACCAGTTTCATAACAAGTGCAGGTTTTTTTTACTCAAGCCCTAGACTGGGCTAGAGGGGCTGAGTTATCTATTTAAAAACGATGCTAGGTCATCGATCTACTCAGTTTAAAAACTGGAAATATACTATTTCTGTAAAGAAAAACATTTCTAGAAACAAAAATGAAGTTTATCTTCAAAACGTCTGCATTATCAAAATCTATATTAAGTGTTAAATGTCGGATTCTATTTTATGACGAAGGAATATTCAGTGATGCTCCACAGCCGCAACCGATCTCGAGCTTTCCTTTGTGTTTAACAACGGCCGTCTCTGGACGAGTTCATTGATTACTCTAAAAGGTGACAGGTTGACCCATCTTTAACATCTGCCTTTACTTTGAGTGATTGTACTTAAATAGCACAAAATTAAAAAATAAATTAAAATATATCCTTGATAGATCTATAGTTCTGCTATTTAAAAAAAAAAATTGGGCTATCTTTGATAATCCATAGCGGCTTGGACTTGTTTACAGAAGATTCTATAATTTGGAAAGTTAGATGGTACACATGTAGCACAGGCCCATAGTACGCGGGATTTTTTCGGAGCCCCCCCCCCCCTTCACTTTGAAAACGTTGCTACAGGCCTGTAACATGCTGTTTGGATTAAATATTCCTGAAAATGAGTGAGGTGTTAAATACATTTTTAAAATTATACTATTAATTATATTTAGTCTATGTTCTATGTGAAATTAAAACTATTTTTAGGCACGTGCAACTTTGTGATAAAGTCACTACATGCATGTAACGTTATATGTTCATGCAGTTTGTTTCCTAGTACATGCATATTTTTATTCAACAAAAGATGTTGAAACTCAGTAGCCTAAATATTATGTCACTTTAGGATATTTATGGCACTTTTATAGTTAACTTTCTACAGCTTGAGTATCGATTTGTCAGTAAATACTTGTTTTTTTATGAGAAATCATCTGAGCACAATGAAAATTCGAATAAATTGAAAGTCGAATATCTTGGATATGGGGGTAACCCATATCTATTCTTGTTTATTGATAAATTGATTTTTCGGGAAAGTCACAGAAATGAATTTTAATTTACACCTTACATCAGAACCCCTGACACAGGGACCATGAAACTCACTAGAAGATTAAGCACTCTTGCGCACCATAACTAGCATGGTCTATACGCTTATATTTATTTATTTATTTTTGCTTTTTAACAGTTAACCAGGAGCAGAATGAGAATATAATATTTTCAAAGAATTTATGCTTTTTCACTATATAATCAATAGAGCCCCCATCCTTTCACCAGAGGTGTGTTCAGCAGAGCGAGCGCTCGCTCTGCTGAACACACCTCTGAACCCCCTACCCTGGGGCCATGAATTTCACAATTTTGGTAGAGGCATCCTTGTTTATCATATCCATGCAATTAGTTTGTTTAAATAATACCCAAGAGCACAGAAGAAGATTTTCAAAGAATTAATGCATTTTTCACTTTATAATCATTAGAGCCCCGCCCTAACACCAGAACCTCTGACCCTGGGCCATGAATTTCAAAATTTTGTTAGAGGGCTCAGTGCTTATTACAATCAAGCCATCAGTTTGACTGCTTGATGTCCAGGAGTAAAGAAGAAGATTTTTAAAGATTGCATTAATTTTGGTGGTTATAGCCCCATCTCTCAAGCCCTAGCGGGGAAGGGACCATGAAATTCACATCCCCCCTTCACTCACGCCTGGCGCGCCGGCCCTAGACCCGCCTCTGAAGATTAAAGTTGGAAAAAACTTTTTTAAAAAATGTATTTATATATATATTCATTTATTTCTTTGTAATGTTCCTACAACTTGATGTATTTATATTCATGCAATCTCCTATTGGAGGAAATAAAGATAGAATGAATGAATAAAGTTCGAATTACCAACTTTTAAGTTCGTATTACCAACTTAAAAAAAAATATTACGTGGCACTAATACGCTTCCGTAAATTAGGGATAATTACTGGGTCACTTCGTTAAAAGAAATCATTGGGTACATCTGGCACGAATCGACTTGGTGCAAAGCGTATTAGTGCGAATGGTCTGTTGGGGCGAACCGTCCCACATTCAGTGATTAAAACGTACAGAGACCGTTTAAATTTATCTGTTTCCGGTTTTGATCGAATATGTCGGATTATGATGCAGTGCAGAAGGGTTCCCTGAAACTAAAAGGTGTGTCTGATCATACAATAAAAAAGTGAGTATTTCAAAATTTCTATTTACAAAAGCGTCATGTAAGAGGCATTTTAACCAGAAATATAGGTACTCCCTATTCTCTTTAGAGAAGTGGACAGGCTTTCTCTTTATGGAAACCTTCTTATGTTCTAATTCACCAGTTCAACCGAACATAAATTATTTATAAATTCAAAACTCCAACACATGTTTAGGAACGGCATCGCCCGCGTCTGTGCAACAGACATTTATTACACATAAATGTTACAATATTTTAAATATTCTTCTTTGAAACAACATTCTACAAAATAAAAAACGAAAATATTAAATCATATCAGATATATACATTAGAAAGTAGGGTGGGTGGGCGGGGACTTGTTGCACTAAGCGCAGCGAAACCTCGAATAACCTCTTATTCTTAATACCTGGACACAGGTAAACTACCTGTTCCGCACGATTTCATTTGAACTCATATCAATCGTTAAAACCCAATCAAATCTTAGATACTATAAATACTTCCTAAACACGTAAACAAACAACACCACGTGTTTCCGATACCATTTATAAATATATTTATGTTCTAATTCACCAGTTCAACCGAACATAAATTATTTATAAATTCAAAACTCCAACACATGTTTAGGAACGGCATCGCCTGCGTCTGTGCAACAGACCTCGACCAATAAAGACAGAAGCAAAAACCCACACTTTATATACCCAAATTTTTCGTAACTGACAGTTGCTGTCTAAGATTTTCTGACACATATCCGTCTTTAGCAGTATCAGATTTCCACCGGCCATGTTTTTTAAATAGTCTATCACAAACACCATGGTTGGCCGCTGCAGTAGCCCCGCCAGCGCGAAGACTATGCAGACCAAACTTAGTTCTATCTAAACCCAATGATGCGAGCGCGTCCAGAAGAATCTCTCTAGCCCTTGTATATGACAAGTACTTTTCTCCTCTTAATTTGTATGTGTTAGAACTTTTACAATAAGTGATAGATCTAAACAAATATTCATTAGATTGGTCGTTAATGTTTGCTAGACTGAGATATCTTCTGGTCATTCTCACAGGACATGTAATTTCATTCGTACATGACACAACTACATTGCTCCCCACTTTATAACGATTTGTTTTGCTTTTCTGAATAGTAAGAGTCATATAATTGTCATAAAAACATATATCTGATCTCTTCAAATGAACAAGTTCTGAAAATCTTAAAAAACCAGCATAACTTAATAAGCACATACAACATATTCTAATATCTAACAAAGAACACGATTCACCTCCGTAAAGAGCACACAATTGTTTCAGTATATTGGAGGTAATAGGTTCTTTTTTATTTATCAACTGTTTCCCGATAGTTCTATGGCATCCCTCTCTAGCTGAAATAGTAAGTTCGGATGAACAGGGATTGGGAAATCCCGCCAATTTATGCGCCCAGCTAATTGCATAAAAAGCCTCGTCAATTGTCCCTGCACTGCTACATGTATTACTGAGACTTGTTAAGTATAACGATACATGGAAATCCGTTGCCGGAAGATATGAAATATTATGTGTAAAACACCACTTACGAAATTTATTGAAAGCATATCCGTACGTTTTTCTTGTGTTTTCAGCCTTGGAATTCATGATTAAATCCGGAAGTTTCTTTGCCAGCGATTGTAAGGAGGGATGAGAGGTCCTCCATAACGAAATCCAATTTCCAGTTTTGAAAACATCTGCAAAACTAAAATAAAAGTCATATTACCGACCATGCTTGGAAACCAAAGCCTTGTCGCAGTAGACCTTGTCGATAAGCACGACCTTGTCTTTCCATTCCTGACCGTGCCAGCTTAAAAAGAAATGCATTCTAATTAAGGGCCATGTCAATCTATTAATAATACTTGACCTTGCCATAAACTTGGCCTTGTCATAATAAACACAAAATAAATTCAAACATTAATATGTACACAGACCATGCCTTTTAAGGCCATGTCTATCAGACTCCACTGAGTCTTACAGCTAATACTCTGGAATTAAAGCTGTCAGAGCCAAACAGGCTGTACAAATTTTTGCCATGCACAAAAATATTCTGATATGGTGAAAATTCCAAAACATCAACTACACACTGTTTATACTTCATATTTTCATCAAACAGTAACGTCCAAAATGCTGCAGACGGCCATTTTGGAACAATTAATGTACCCACACATTTACACGCTGTTACATGTTTTATAGCTTTACTCACAAGACAAATAGGTGGTACTAACCAATTATTTTCAAAACACCAGTTTTGGGTAAAAGCATCAACTGCTTCAGTCTCCGGGTACCAAAAAAGGGAGTTAAACCTCGTTAACTTTGTGTTATACACACTTGCAAATCTATCAATAGTATGAGGACCCCACATTTGGTCAACAAAACTAAAAAACTCTTGAGTTGTTTGCCAATCTTCATAATCGACTAAATTAGACAAATAATCTGCTTTTGTGTTTTTGTTTCTAGGTATCCAACAAATTTTCAACGAAATAGAATTTTCAACACATTTAGAAAAAATGTCTAAAGCTAAATCTTGTAAATGTAATTTAGTGCTACCTCGTTGTACAATTTTAACACAATTTTGATTGTCAGTATGCCAAAGTAAACTCTTTCCAATAAATGAAGTGGCAAATGACTCTAAAGCTAACTGTATAGCTTTAAGTTCTCTCCACGTGGAGCTCATAACAGATTCATTCAATGACCAAGTTTTATGAAAAACCTTTTCGTCAGCTTCTACAGTATATGCACCAGCTGCAACGTCACTGGCATCTGAAAACACAAGCGTTATTGGTAACGAGTCTTTAACTAACAGTTTCTGATTCAACTTATCAAGATTTTCCTTCCAGAACTGCAACTCTGATTTTACTGCTTCTGGAAATAAAAAACTGATTAAACAATCCCAATGACTTCTGCTCTCTATAGCTAAATAAATGTGTCTGGTCATCAAACTTGTTACATTACCAACAACTGGTGACATGGAAATAATTTTCCCAGCCGCTTTTGTGAGATCTCGAGCTGTAAAGTTGGGAAATCTATCAATAAGAAATTCTATCGAGTTCTGAGCATCAGAAAGTCGTCTTTCAGGTATACGTAGAGAAAATATACTGGTATCCCATACCAACCCTAACCACTCCAAACACTGGACAGGCTGAAAAATAGACTTTTCAATATTAATTAGCAAACCTGCTTTTTCTAAAGTCTCTTGAACTAAATTTGATGCTTTAACACACGTTTGTAAATCTTTACCAAAACCAAGACCGTCGTCCAGATACAAAACAATGTCAATTCCGCGGCTTCTCCAGTACTTCATGATGGGTCTTAGACACTTGGTAAAATTATAAGGCGCAGACGTTAGACCAAAAGGTAAAACATTGAAACAATAAAACTTATCTTTCCAACTGAATGAAAGGAAAGTAATCTGACTTTTACAAATATCTATGTGGTGATAGCCTGACTTTAGATCAAACTTAAACAGAAAACAATCTTTATTGAAAAAATTCAAAGCAATACGCCAGTCTTCAAACTTTACTTTTCTTTTGTCTACAAAATAATTCAATTGACTCAAATCCAGAATAAGTCTCTTTTTACCAGACCCTTTATTTTCTGCAACACTTAGTGGACTGACCACATGTGGCTGAAAGGGAACCTCTTGTACGCAGCCGCTCTCAAGAAGATCTGAAACAGACTGATCAACAAATTGTTGGTTTTTCATTGCAGATTTGTTATTATTCAGTCTCATGCGTGGCGGTACTGTAACAAAAGGAATAACATAACCATTTTTGATAGTATCTAATATGAACTCATTAGTGCTTATGGACTTCCAAAACTCAAAATGTTTGCGTAAACTGCCTTTCACCCCTTTACCAATATCAGGTAAATTTTTAAAATAATTTACTTGCTGTACAAATGATTCAAACTGATCAGTAAAAATAGATTCATCAACGAAATATACATACTGATTCTCATAATCACTGGGTTGACGAGCTTGTGCTTGGGTTGTTGGTTCTGGCTGGGGCAGTGCATGCGGATTTCCAATGGCCGAGCTTATGGCAGTTGTAGCACACGTCGTATGGAGAGGCCTCCTTACGCTTGTAGGGACGAAAATTACGGCCAGAACCACCAGACCTACCATCAGGTAGCGAAGTTGTTGCAGAACCAGACTTGGAGTATGGCTGAAAACGGCGTTTTTCCTTGATAGCTCGTAATGCTCGGTTTTCAGCTTGACGTAGACGTTTTTCGTCCTCAGAGTCGGAGGCCAAATCATCACTTTCATACTCACGGACTGTCGACCACCCGGCCGGAGATTTATCGGCAATCCTGATGAGCTTGTTACGCTTAGTAACCTTGGAAATGAGCTCTCTAACGATGCTTAAAGTGGAAGAATCTGAAATGCGCTTTTTAAGTTTATTCAAATCACCCAATATTTCAGTATTAAAGTTAAACTGAATTTTGTTCCCTTCACTCTTGAATTTTACAGAGACCTCTTTTTTAATGGTTTTTGTTAAATTTTCGATGTCGTTACCCGTAGAGAGTTCCTCCTTGAGAGTATCTAGTTTGTTGTCCAGGTATGACTTGAACAGGTTGAAGGTGTCGGCCAAGTCCGCACTTACACGGGGGCTAGAGTGTCCAGAGATCTCCGCAGAATTTGCCGTCTTGCGAGTGGTTTTCTGTTCACCAGCGGTTTCTTGTAGTAGAGTTTCGTCTAGAGACTCATCTTCCGCCCGGTATTGGGCCAAGAAATCTGTTTTTTGCCGAGACATCTATTCGACTTTTTACTTGTTGCACTAAGCGCAGCGAAACCTCGAATAACCTCTTATTCTTAATACCTGGACACAGGTAAACTACCTGTTCCGCACGATTTCATTTGAACTCATATCAATCGTTAAAACCCAATCAAATCTTAGATACTATAAATACTTCCTAAACACGTAAACAAACAACACCACGTGTTTCCGATACCATTTATAAATATATATGTTTTGATTCTGGAAAACGTATAAATTTAG